TGTAGAGGGTTACCTCTGCCCAACAGGCAAGTCAGCAGGTCGCATCTGCAGCCCAGCCAAGAGGAACAGGCCGCGCTCCCTAGTTAGCCTGCCCGCCTTGTGCGGGATCTTGACACTTCATTCTTGTGGCAGCAGCACCACCTGGTGGTTGCCTCTGGAGCCTGTCCTTCCTTTGCCTTCTGTCTAGAGGTGGAGTTACCTGGAGGGCAGAACTTCTGTATGAGTTCCGCCTCCCACTACCTGTGGGATTGGGAGTCAGTGGCTTTAATGGTATGAGAGACAGTTTCTCATCTGGGAGTTAGGATAATAACAGTGACTGTGTCTTAGACACTTCTGAAATTTAAATGAGATACATGCAGAGACTTAGCCTCAAAGGACCAGAAGGCCATGAACACACAGGGAGAATTGGTAGTTGCCATCAGCACAGGGGTCCATTCCTACTGGTGACCCCTTTCTAGGAGTTCCAGCCCTCTTCATCTAGACGCATCTATCATTCCCACGGCCTCTAGGCTTTGTATTTCCCTCCCTGCCCCAGTGTGACTCTTCAGTGTATGTATATTTATTTTTGTTCATTCATTCATTCACTCATTCATTCATTCCTTTTGTGATAAGCATGCATGTATGCCCAGTGAGCAACACAGGGCTAGCCTTAGCCCTTTATAGCAAGGAAACAGGGATCTTGGGTAGTAAAGCCCACACATACTAGGAGGGTGATCACTTAAGGTTCCCGTGGGACATTCAGTGAGCCTCGTTGGAGACCCCCTCCTCTTCCATGCGTGGAGGACTAGACTCATAGATGATAAGGGGAGGGTCTGCTCCCCCACCAGGACTTCTATACCCTGGGTCATAGGCCCAGTTTCCACACCCCCACACTGCAGGCACAGTGGTCCTGGCCCATCCGGGGTCTCCACACTGGGGTCAGAGTTACGGAACCATTGTCACTGTGAAGAGCTGTGTCCCAGGACGCAAGCCCTCACTCCATCGGGAGACAGACCCTCCAGCTACCACTCAGCCTCGGGGAATGGCTATACATAGTCCACTCCCAGGTAGCACCACGTGTCACCCCCTGCTCCAGTCCCCAGGCACCTGCCCTTCTCACTGCGAGAGCACCACGGGCCTACAGAGTCAGGTTCCCACACACTGAGGATTGTCTCCTGCTCGCTTGTCCCAACCCCAGCACACCTGCAAACAGGTACACAAAGATTTTCCTAGAAAAGAAAAAACGGATGCAAAGATGAGTAGGAGTCTGATGCTGGGCGCTTCCAGAGCAGAGAGGAAGACAGATGGCCAAGGCCAGCAAGACAAACAGCTCTCCCAGCCTTTATGACTTCCGCCGGAGATCCCGACGTAAGAAGCAGGATTTGCTCTCCACTCGGAATACCTGCCATCTGTGATGTGAAAATATTAAATGGAAAATTCCAGAAACAAAAAGTTCCCAACGTTTAAATTGCTCGCTGTTCAGGGCAACCTTGTTGAAATCAGGAGCCGTCTCACCTCGTCCTGCCAGGACACAGAATCATCACCTCGCTCGGGTGCAGAGGTAGATAGATACCCACGATGCAGATGGGGTGGAGAGAAGCCATAAGGTGCCTGCAAGGGTCAAAGTTTATCATAAGTACGCATATAGAGGAAGACACAGTGTATGCAGGATCAACACTTTGGAGTTTCCAGCACCCACTGGGTACCCAGGGTTTTCTAGCAGGGTCCCTGCAGCTGACCCAGAGGCAATTGGACGGCCTCTGGGTACCTTGCCCTGCCCATAGCCAACTCATGTCTCCCAGGCCTGCCCCAGTTGTCCCAGATATCGCTGCCTCAAGAAGAGCTCTTTTTAAAAAATTTAAAAATTAGGTGTTTGTGTGTAGAGGTAGGTAAGGGTTGGTATAGGAGTGAGAGTGGGGGTGCCCACAGGGACCAGAGGGTCCCTTGGAGCTAGAGCTACAGGTGGTTGTGAGCTCAGGTTTTCTGCAAGGGTAGTACATGCTGTTGACCACAGATCCACCTCTCCAGACTCCTGAGAGGAATCCTTAAGGACACGCGGGACAGGCAGCTGATGGGGGGAGTGGGATGAAGGAAAGGGGCCCTGAGGAAGAAGGCAGAAAGTTCTTTTGCTTCTAAGGCTTTTCAGCCCCTTAAGCTTCTGTTCTATTAGCTTAGCTTGGGTTCCAGGCTCCCCCTTGGCCTGGAGGAAGAGCGTCTGACCCATTACGTGTTGGATTCTTACCCCGGGAAGCAGGGAGGAGGTTGCACCAGGTAAGCACACTGTACAGAAAAGAACATCTCCATGATAGACTGTCCCCAGCACTATGACCAGATCCCACACCCTCCCTGCTAAGCCATCAGGCACTCCCCACACACCCTCCCCTTGTCTCCATTGTCATCCTTCGCCAAAACCAGAAATCACCTTTCTCTTTGCCTCATTGCCCCCGCTCCATGGCTCTAACAGCTCCTGTCTCCCTACACACCCAGATGTTGAACCCTCTGACAGTACAATGGCCACACTTCCTGACTTCCCCTTCCTGACTCCCATCCTCTCTGGCAAGAACCAGCTCTTTCTATTTATTTATTTATTTATTTATTATGTATACAATGTTCTGTCTGCATGTATGCCTGCCCGCCAGAAGAGGGCACCAGGTCTCATAGATGGTTGTGAGCCACCATGTGGTTGCTGGGAATTGAACTCAGGACCTCTGGAAGAGCAGCCAGTGCTCTTAACCTCTGAGCCATCTCTCCAGCCCAAGAACCAGCTCTTTCTAGAATGCACATGGGTCTGCTCCTTGCCACTGGATGCAATATTGATGTCTTAGCACAGACTTAGCCTTTGGGCAGGGCCCTCTGTGACCCCCCCAAATTCTCCAGACCCTATAAGAACAGGAAAACTGTCCCTTGGGTCCTTGATGCACGCTTGAGATAGGCCAAACCTTGGAAAGGTTGGGAGAAAATACAGTTGGTTCTCCACACCCCCAGCTCCGCTTCTGCCAATTCTACCAACTACAGATGGAGGATAATCAGGAGGAAGCATGGCATCTGTATTGAACATATGCAGGCTTTTATCTTGTTGTTATTCCCTAAACAATCAGTCTAACAACCAGCACTCCGCACTTACACTGTGGTACATGGTACAAGTCATTTAGAGTGGATTTAAAGGATACAGAAGGAGGCGTGAGGTTCTATGCAAATGCCGCATCCTTTTATAGAAGCGACTCGAGCGTTTACCAATGTGGTATTGGCTGGAGTACTAAAATCACTCCCCCAGTAGACATCAAGGTATGGCCATGTATGTACTTCCCACTCCTTGTCGCTTGGGGTGCCTGCCTGCACAGCAAGGCTCACAGACTACAGCACATAGTTGCTGTTTTCTGAAGTCCTGCCTTCCTGGGGTCCCCCTCTGTAGTGCAACTCCTGTCTGGGACAATGCTCCCCAAATCTGTCTCTTTACCCTGCCCTATAGAGATCTTTCTTGGGATTCCAAAGCTAGGAAGTGGGTCCTAGACCCCTGGAGCTCTATCCCCATAGCACGAACCCCTTGGGGCTGGGGGACGCTGGTAACAGTCTGCCTTCTTGGAACAGACAGAGAACAAAACAAGACAAGAACAAAAACACAAATCAATATTTCAATAAATTATCCTGCCGCGGCAGTGAAATCACCTTGTCTGCCAAGAGAGGCTCAGGATGGGAGCCCAGCATTGGGGGAAGGATGCATTCAGCCAGTGTCCAGTCTGCAACGTGGTGGGGGTGTTCTGGCCACTGCAGGGTCGGGGCCCTGTCTGCAAGGTGGGAAGGGATCCTTCCATGGGAGGAGCTGCTGTATTCAGAAGTTCTTAAGTGAGTGACTTGGGGAGAGGGGTGGGGGTTTGTTCTATCGGCTACAGCCATTTTCATTCAAGCTAACCCAACTATTGGGTTGGGAGGTGCTTGGGAATTGAACCCAGGTTTTTGTGATCTGGGCTGGCACTTTACCCACTGAGCGTGTAAACTTTACATTCATGATAGAGACATCTGGTCTGGCAAGCCTGGGCCTCTCTTCTTAAATGCCAGCCATGGGCCAGTGTTCAGTGGACATGGCCCCTGAAGATACCCAAGTTTTCAAGTTCTTCCCAGAACCTCTTGGCGGTGGGGGAAGAGGTTCTGTCTGCATAGTATTGACCAATTTGCTCTTACCCTGCGTCAACCTGGCTCCTGCCTCAGGTCCTGGTCCCCTCCTGCTTGCTGCTCCTAATACCTGAGTGTGTATTTCTGGCTGGACTCTCCAGTCTCTTTCAAAGACTTGGCCGGAGATCTCTTCCCACATCGGTGTAGGGCATGCCGGTCAGCTGGCTGCTGTCTTTCACCTGCCAGCCAGTGCCCTTGCCTGGAATGCTCATGCTTCCTATCAAAGGCGGAGTGCATTGCTCTGAGTTCTTTTGGATGCAGTTGACAGTAACACACCTCAGAATTGCTTGACTCCTATGAGGCAAGTGGGAAAGGCAGCCTGACAGTCCCTAGGACTATGGTGTGGTAGCCTCCCCTGTCTGTAGGCTAGACCGAGATTGGTTAATAGACCAAAGCTTTGTGTTCAACATGCGTGTGTTCTTATGTTGTCTCTTCAGTCATTAGTACTAGAGGAAGCAAGCTACCAATTGTGAGCTGTCTGTAGAAGGGCTGGGGAGGGGGCATGATGAGGAGCCTTCCCCCTCCATCCAACAGTCTAGGGCTAATGGGGTCCTGCTTCTAACTGAGGAGTGAGCTTGGTAGAGGGATGGCTTGGCTCCAGGGGAGACTTGAGACAAGTCTGCAGGCCCACTTCACGTTTGACAGTGTGGAAACTTGTGCAGGCGAGGGTGACCAGGAACCTTCTCTTTCGTTCAGAAGAGGGGAGCTGAATGGGAGTGGCTCAGCAGGAAGCTGCGTGGTCCTGGACCAGATCCCCAGTGGCTAAACTCAGTCAGCACAACTCCCTGTTCAACCCCGAGTAATCTGCAAGATGCCAACCCCATCCTTCTGTCTGTCTCCACCCACTGTAGTCCATGAGCCTCATTGAGATTGGGAATCCCTCTCAGAGTCTGGAGAATGTCTGCCGCTGGGCCTACCTCCAGCAGAAGCCGGACACCGACCACGACGAGTACCATGATCATGCCATCTTCCTCACACGGCAGGACTTCGGGCCCTCGGGCATGCAAGGTTAGCTGGGTGCCTACAGATGCTGGAGAAGAAGCTGGGGCCTGCAAGGGGCTAGCCTAGACAAAAGGGGCAGGACATAGAGGGGGTGTGGCTACCTTAACTGCCTGAGTGTCTGGGTTGGCCATATCAACTTTCTGGCTCTAGAAAACCATCAGAGCCTGTATCGTGGCCCTGACCCCCATCTCACCCCCAAAAAAACAAAACAAAACAACTGCACCCCAAGGAACAGAGGAAGGTCAGGAATGGCTGGATAAACCTGATAGGGCTTGACAGCCTGAAGATGAGACTGTGTCCAGAGTCCGGGCTTCAGGGTTGTTTCTTCCCCTGGCTACTGAGATAGGTTACCAAGTGATTCTTTACGCAAGGGTTCAAACTACATAAAACCAAACAGATATAAAAGAAAAGCAATTGTCCAAACTACGGGGTTGAAGATGTCAATAGACACCTATTAGTAAGCGATAGAAGAACAGATAAGAAAAGGAGTGAAGACATAAAAGCTTTGGGCTGAGATGGCTCAGCTGGTAGAGGCACTTGCTGCCAAGCCAGAGGGCGCGAGTTCAATCCCTGGGATCCATATGGTGGGAGGAGAAAAGAAACTCCTGCAAGTTGTCCTCTGACCTCCACAAAGGCTTTGTGGCCCTCCTGCACATGCACCTCTGTGTGTGTGTCTATGTGTGTGCACGCACGCACACACACACATACACAAATGCACACACGCACGCACACACACACACACACACCAGTGTAATTTTTAAAGCTTGTTTATAAAGCCAACATTGTAATAAATTGATACTTATACCTATTATTAGGTTGGAGGTTGAAATAAATCATAGATACACATGATTTATGTGTATTATGTGTATTAAGCAAAGGACAACCCACGAAGCCAGCAGCGTAGAAGGATGCAAATGGTAACAGGGGAAGCTCAGCAAGAAGCAGAGCCATTCCACAGGGTGAGGAAGAGAGAGCAGGCAGGAAGCTGCCTAGGTGACAGACAAGGCGCAGCAGAGACCTGTGCCAGTGGCATTGTGGATTGTGTCAGGCAAAGCGGCCACCAAGCTCTGTGGATGGGCAGGGGGCCTGCTGTCAGTGTGGGTGTCTTCTGAGTTCCACCAGCAGGGGGCAGTCAATTCTGCAGGACTGCTCTGAGGATGGATCCTCTCTGGGGCTGTCTGGGAGTAAGACTCCAGGCCTGGAGGCTGGAGCCACCTTCTGTCTCCTCCCAGGCTATGCTCCTGTCACGGGGATGTGCCACCCGGTCCGCAGCTGCACCCTGAACCATGAGGACGGCTTCTCCTCGGCATTTGTGGTGGCTCACGAGACTGGCCATGTGTAAGTGGCCTGAGCATCCTTGTACGGAGAAATCGGATCCTCTGCTCTGGGTTGACCGCTTTCCCCTGTGCCTGAGAGGGGCAGTCATGTAGGAAAGCCACTTAGCCTTGTTTTCCTGTCATTCTGGCTAGAGGTCAGCTTCAGCTTTCTGCTGACAGAACAAATCAAATCAAAGACAAAAAGCACCAGGGGGCAGAGTGAGCTCTGGGCCATAAGGGAGCCAAGGGCCTTGTGCCGTTATCCCATTCAAGTCCTGGGGTCACCAAGGCTCTGAGGGAGGGTAGCCCAGGGTCAAAAAGCCAGGACTCTGTCCAAATATGCATGTTCCAGGTATCAGTAAAGACCCTGAATCTTGGAGCCAGGTAAGTATTAATGGGTTTTGCAGAGCTGATGGGTGTATCCAGGAGTACCCAGAATGCTCTGGGATATAGATAGCCCTGCCCTCACTGTGCATCCAGGAAACGGTGGCCTTCCTTGGGGACATGGAGAGGAGCCTGTTTGTGGGTGTCTTCATCACAGGGTGGCTCTGGCTCCACAACTCTAGTCAAAGTGGGTCAGAGTAGAGACGCTCCGAGATGCCCGCTGTGGTTGTTAGAAATGCCTTCCTGGTTGAGGTACGGGGAAAACTGCCCGTCAGTGCATCCAGGCTGCCTTGCTCCCCACACAGGCTGGGCATGGAGCATGATGGGCAAGGCAACCGCTGCGGTGACGAGGTACGGCTGGGCAGCATCATGGCACCCTTGGTCCAGGCTGCCTTCCATCGATTCCACTGGTCCCGCTGCAGCCAGCAGGAGCTCGGCCGCTACCTGCAGTGAGTATCGCCCTGGGCCCCCGAGGGTGGCCCCTCTTTGGGTTCAATTCTAAGAGGGCACAGTGCCCAGTGTGCTTGGGTCCAACCCGAACCCTCAGGCCTTGAGGCCTCTAGCCTGACACGCAAGGGATGGGTGAGAGAGCCTGGTGCTGAGAAAGGACCCCACTTTTGGGGGGGTTCCCACTCTGACACTGAATAGGCCAGAAGCTGCCCTAGCCAGCTCTCGAAATCTCAAACTTGTGGAGGAGGCAAACTGAGACATCACAGCTAAAGACCAGGGTGATAAAGTCTTGCCCACCATAGTGACTCCCGAAAGGACCTCAGCTTCCACACTGAAGGTTGTGCGGCACCCACGTGTCCCCTTACAGTTCCTATGACTGCCTGCGTGACGATCCCTTCGCCCACGACTGGCCGGCTTTGCCTCAGCTCCCAGGGCTGCACTATTCCATGAACGAGCAGTGTCGATTCGACTTTGGCCTGGGCTACATGATGTGCACTGCGGTGAGTGCAGGGACACAGCAAGTGTCCCCAGGGTCCTGCGGCGATGGCACTTAAGGCACCAGCCGCTTCTGCCCAGGGCCGTAGGGATGCCCACTTGATTTTCACGGAAGATATTCTGCCTCCCGTCTGCCTGTCAAAGCTTCACCAGGCGGGCAGCCTCCCAGGCTGGAGAGTTGGGGGCCCAGCGATACCCAGAGACATTGTCATCTCCATACTGTATGCACGTGGTCCTCGTGGCCCCAGAATCACATGGGCGCTTGCAGCACCCGCCCACATAGGCATGCTCACAGGCCAGTTCAGGTTATAGTATGGGGCTAAGGGTGTGGCATTCTAGGTGGCCTGCTAAAGGGGGGGAGGGAGTAGCCTGATAAACTAAGGGCATTCTCTTCCAGTTCCGGACCTTTGACCCCTGCAAACAGCTGTGGTGCAGTCACCCCGACAACCCTTACTTTTGCAAAACAAAGAAGGGTCCCCCACTGGACGGGACTATGTGTGCACCTGGCAAGGTGAGTCAGAGCTACACAGCCCTGAATGTCACTGTGTGGGTGAATTCCTCTTCTCCCTTGTGATAAGGACATGGATCTGTTTAGCGAGGGCCATGACTTAAGGAACTCCTTGCAGCCCCACCTCCCCACACCACCACACTGGGAATTTAGTTAGCACATGAGTTTGAGTGGACACAAACATCAAGTCCACAGTGTCCCTCCTGGCCTGTGAGTTCTACTTCCTCCACCAGCTGATGGGAGCGTGTCTGTGAGTTCCTCTCTTCCCCCACCGTGTCTAAGTGAGGGAAGCTTTGCAGGGAGAGCTGGAGTGAGCACAGCCCAGGAAAGAGATGCCGGGATCACTTGGTCACGACTGCTGGCCATGTGTCTGCTTGCCCAACTTGACAACGTTACATGGGGTCCTTGACACGTACTCAGAGCTCTGAGAGGGAGACTCCAGAGAATGACAGCCCCTGCAGGCTTCAGGTCAGGGCTCTCCTTCTACACGTGGATGCCATGGATCAAACTTAGGTTATCAGGCTTAGTGGCAAGTGCCTTTACTTGCTGAACCATCTTGCTGGCTCCGCATTCATAGTCTGAAGCCCCACACAGATGCGAGTACACCCATGTTGTCACCCTCATACTCACATGGGCAATGTGTGTGTTTTTCCACATACATGCAAATACACGCAACATGCACATGCACACACATATTCATGAATGTACATATGCTCACATATGCACATATACAAGTAGAAAAAAATGATGGTTTTCCAGTTTTGGTCATTTGTATTGTGCTGTTAATTATCTTTATTTTGAGTGATGTTTTCTTATTCTAGTCAACAAAGCATTTGTTGGATTCTGATGTTCTGAAGTACTAATCTACTGTTTTACATTTTGGAATCTTCTTAACCTTCTCATAGGGTTTTATAAGCTTCTTCCCTGGGAAGGATGAGACGATGGAATTTAGTGTTTTTTCCACTCCAGTGTTCTGCTTCCTTTGTTCTTGGTCTTCCTCCTCCATAGCCTGAGTCTACTTAGATATGTATCTATGTCTCCAGATCTCTGGCTTGTTGTTCCTGCTACATCTTCATCCAGGCATGGGGTGGGGGGCAGCATTTATCCTGAGAACATGATACACCACAGGCACAGGTGGTTCAGAGCAGGCTGGACAAGGCCCTGAAGGGTGGGCCTGGACATCCCATTCTTCTTTTGTTAGGCCTGTTTGACTTGAGTGCTTTGATCTTTAGGGACAGGAAGATCAGACTCTATGAGCCCCTCTTCCGCCCTCAGATCAGATACTATAGCCCCGAGCCCCAGGCCTTCAGAGATGGTCCAGGGCGGCCATCACAGACACTGCCCCACTGACGGGCAAAGACCTCTTCAGCCACTCTGGTGTAGGCGATGGGTCAAGGGCGTGCCGTCTTGTCTTTGTAATTACTTTTGTTGTTTTTAATTTGGGACACGAGGCATGTGTTACAGAAGTCAGAATACAACATGGGGTCGTCATTTTTCTTCTTCTACCATGTGGGTCCCAGGGATGGAACTCAGGTCAGTGAGCAGCAAGGGTCTTTACCCGATGAACCGTCTCATCGGCCCACCTTCCTCTCGCTTAGCATTGCTTTAAAGGTCACTGCATCTGGCTGACACCTGACATCCTCAAACGAGATGGCAACTGGGGTGCCTGGACTCCATTCGGCTCCTGCTCACGCACGTGCGGCACAGGTGTAAAGTTCAGGACCCGCCAGTGTGACAACCCACAGTGAGTTGACGCGACGTTGCTGAGGGTCCCAGGGCCTGATTCTGTAGGGCCTTGGGCATTGCACTGCTACCTACCAAGTTCAGGGAGAGTACAAGGCAAACCTCACCATGTTTATTTTTCCCCGGGAGGAAGCTGGGGTGCTGAGGGAGGGCTCCTTCCCTGGCTCAGAGCCTGTCACACACTAGAAACATCAATTCTTGGTCACTACCCTGCGGCCCACAATCCACTCTAGACACAGCTTTCCTCTGCCATTCTTGGCCTAGGGAGTGGAGGATAGAAAGTGGGACAGAGATGGGGAGCTGGGGGTGCCACAAAGGAAGTTCTCATGGGTTGCAGGATGCCAGCAGCCTAGACAGTGGCAGCTGGAGCCAAGCAGCTATTTTGTGGTCAGATGAGAGGCAGTGTTAGGGGCTGCCACTCATGCCCCAGTACCCAGGCTTCTCCCTTCAGCCCGTCCCTCCTTCCCTGCCAGCTCTGTGACTGCTCACACCCATGGTGGGGTCATTTGTCTATCTTGTGTTGGACTATCTGGGGATTTAATTTTGCTTTACCTGAAAATATTGTCACTCTAGAATGTCACATAAAATCATAAACTAATTGCCAGCCCCTAAGCAGGCGAGGTTCAGGCTGGCCCAAAAGTCCCTGGACATATCCAATCTGTCTGGTCTCACTGAGGTAACTAGTTAGGGTTCTTATTGCTGCGACAAAACACCATGGCCAAAAAGCAAGTTGGGGAGGAAAAGGCTTGACTTACACTTCCACGTTGCTGTTCACCACTGAAGGAAGTCAGGACAGGAGCTCAAGCAGGGCAGGAACCTGGAGGCAGGAGCTGATGCAGAGGGCATACAGTGGTGCTGCTTACTGGCGTGCTTCCCTGGCTTGCTAGGTCTGTTTTCTTATAGAACCCAGGACCACCAGCCCAGGCATGGCACCACCCACCAAGGGCTGGGCCCTTCCTCATGGATCACTCATTAGGAAAATACACTACAGCTGGATCTCATGGAGGCATTTCCTCAACTGAGGCTCCTTCCTCTCTGGTGACTCTAGCTTGTGTCAAGTTGACACAAACCAGTCAGTACAAACTCTGATTCTCTGTTCCCTGAGGCAGCTGTACTGTTTCTGTCAGCCCCAAACACTGTCCCTTAGGGAGCCAAAAAGATCAGCAGTCACTGCTGTGGGGAGAAGGGTCACATCTTCATCAAGGTCAAGAAGAGCTGACCTGTATCTGGCCGCCCCGTCTGTACACAGAAGCCTGGAGCCCAGGCTGTCCTCGCGCACAGAGCCTGGTGGGAAGGTGGAACACTGTGACCCCTTCAGCAGAGCTGAGGGATTTTCTCTTGCTTTGGGAAGAGAGCTAGAGCCCAGAAGAGAGCTAGAAGCACAAAAGGACCTGGTGGGGTGGAACTGTTCTCTGCACAGTGGGGAAGTTCCTAAAGCTCCTGTCTTCTAACCCTACACCAGCTGTCCCGTAGGGCCTCATGCATGTGCAGTTTCACAGTTTCAGGATTGTGCTGGATGTTTTCTGCTGCACGGCAGCTCCAGCTCTGTGTGCCCAGGACCTAGGAGGTCGTATGGGAGGCTCAAACAGCCCTGGTTATCTTGGGATTTGTAGTCCAGTGGGGCAGGCAGAATCCTAACATGCAGTCACAGATCTGTGCTCATGAACAGTCCTGGGCTTCAATGCCAGGGTGAAGGTGGCATGCTCAGGAAAGAGGCTGCCTTCTCAAGAGAGCACAGATGGGGATGGTTACTGCCGGTTCCTTCTAGTCTTGATGTTCCAAGGCCTGCCTGGCTGGGGAGGTACCTGGGTCCCAGTAGGGCTGTGTCTGTTTACTCCGCAGAGGTACCCCTTCCATACCTGAGACTCAGGGTTTCCCTAAAAAGTGCCATCCATGGGCAGGTCTTTTTCTAGAGGCCCCAAGAAGGGGAATCTTTGATTTCTCTCGCAGCCCAGCCAACGGGGGCCGCACCTGCTCTGGCCTGGCCTACGACTTCCAGCTCTGCAACCCCCAGGACTGCCCCAATGCCCTGGCTGACTTCCGGGAGGAGCAGTGCCGCCAGTGGGACCTGTACTTTGAGCACGGCGATGCCCAACACCACTGGCTGCCCCATGAGCACCGGGATGGTGAGCTTCCTGGGGAGATGAGAGGGGGACTCAGCACAGGACCCCAGGTGGAGCAGGCAGGGACATGCATTGTTTTATATACCATTGATCCTGCACGGGGCAAAGCTGTGGTGGCACTTGGTCTGGCTAGTGTGGCTGCGGGGTCCTACTCTTGATCTAGGGCTCTGGGCTGGGGGTGTGGCTTCCATCTCAGGGGAACCAGAACACTGGACATGTAGCGGCTGCTGGGTTGGAAACTCAGAGGGTGCAGCTCCTACAGTGACCATCCAGGGAACAAGGCTAAAGTTGCTCGCTGCCACAAGCGTCGGGTGGAGCAGAGGCTGACCCTGCAAAGCCATCAGGTGACTTCTGATAAGTAGTTTCCTTTCTGCGGCTGTGACAAAATACCTCAACAAACACAGCTTAGGAAGGAAGGGTTTGTTCAAGTTGACAGTCCCAGGTTGTGGTCCATCGTACTGGGGACGTCAAGGCTACAGGCTCCTGATGCATTCACAGTCGAGAGCAGAGAGAGAATGGATGTCTGAAGGCAGACATGAGCTCAGCTCCTTCTCCCTTTTATACAACCTAGCGCCAAAACCCAGGGAATGGCACTACTCGCTTTTAGACTAGGTCTTCCCACATTAGTTAAAGCGAAGAAGGCAATCCCCTGCACGCATGGCCACAGGCCAACCTAATCTAGACCATCCCTCACTGGCATCCTCCCCAGGAAATTCAGTGCTGTGTCCAGCTGGTAATTGAAATCAACCACCACACCACCCTCTCTTACATTACTTTCCATTGCATGTGACAGAAACTGTGAACCAAACAGGTGAAGCATTAAATGACATTTATTTTGTGTCTTACAGAACTGAAATATTAGTAGCTTTAGGCAGAGGAGTGCTTGGTAATTGCACCTCCAGTTTAGTGCCCCCCCATAGGATACCCAGCTCCATAAATGTTCAAGTTCTTGTATACAAGAGTGGAGTGTCTGTGCATACTACCTAGCATGCCAGAGATGCTATGAAAATGGTTGTCATTTAGTTACTTTTCTATTGCTATGATAAAACACCATGATCAAGGTAATTTTTAAAAAAAAGCATTCGACTTGGCTTATGATTTCAGAGGGCTAGAGTTCATGATGGTGGCTCGAAAGAACAGCTGAAAACTCATGTCTTGATCTATAACAATGATGCAGAGAGTGAACAAGCCCTGGGGATCCCATGAGCCTTTTGAAACCTAAAGCTCCACCTGCAGTGGCACCTCTCCCAGCAAGGCACACTTCCCACTCCTTCCCCACACCTCCTAATCCTTCCCAAATAGTTCCACCAACTGAGGCCCAAGTATTCAGACAGATGAGCCCTTCCCATTCCAACCACCTCAGTTGTTAATGTGTATGAGTTACAGAATAACAAAGAAATGTGCAGACAAGGTTGGTACCGATGCAATCCTTTCTCAGGTAGTTCCAGTCGGTTATGGGTTGAGCCCACACATGGAGGGTGTGGTGACAAAAGGCTAGTTCTGCTTCACCTGAGACCTTCTCCCTTCCATGTGTATGGGGTACCAATTGGAGTCACCTGCTGTGCCTTACATGTGCTGATGCAGGGTTGAGGGGTGACAGAGCTGATGGGGCTGGAGGATACCCAACCTGGCGACCAGGTGTATCAATTGCTTCTGATTAATTCATGCAGAACAAGAAAAGTGCCAGGGGCTGGAGGTTGACTACAAGAGGGTCTGGCTGCATTTGGGACTGGCTGCATTTGGGACTGGCTGCATTTGGTTGATTGAAAAAGACTCTTTCCTCTTTTTTAGTCAGCATCATTCATTAAACAAAACAATGGGTTTCACTGTGACACTTGAATACATGTCTGTCGGGGTTGGAGAGATGGCTCAGTGGTTAAGAGCACTGATTGCTCTTCCACAGGACCTGGGTTCAATTCCAGCACCCACATGGTAGCTCACAACTGTCTGTAACTTAACTTCCAGGGGACCTGACCCCCATGGCAAAACACCAATGGACATAAAATAAAAAACAACATAAAGAATTTAGAAAAAAAAGAATACATGTCTGTCATATTTTGATCATGTTGGCCCTCCGTTATCTTCTCACCACACTAAACAAGAGAGAGAATGTAATACTTGTTTTTCTGAAGCAGGGTTAATTTGTTTAATATGATAAATCTCAAGTTATACCCATCTTCCTCAAGACAATGTAATTGTCTTGTTCCCCACGTCCGAATAAAACTCCATGTGTACACACCACATTTCCCTGGTCCACTCCTCTGTCCATAGATTCCTAAGCTGCTTCCATACCTTGGCTCTTGTGAACAGTTCACATGTGCAGGTGTCTCTAATGGTGTGCTGACCTAGACTCCTTTGCATGTGTTCCCAGGAGTGGTGCAGCACAGCACATGGGGATCATAGGTTTAGTTTTCCGAGGTACGACCACACTGGTTTCCACAGAGGCTGCATGCATTTACATCCCCGCCCACAGTAGGGGAGGGCTCTGAAGAAGGCTCTTGAGATGGAAACTGGGCAAAGAACACTTTGCCTCTGCAGAGTCGAAGATCTCCATCAGGCAGGGCTGTAAAGATGGAGGATGTGGGGTATATACACATCCTGGCTGGATCTCTTGGGCAATCTCTTCCTAAGGCTTGCTAGCACCAGAGTCAAAGTCGCAGAAGCCAAAAAGGTAGGAAGGAGGTTGCTATCACTTGTCCCTCTGTGGGTGTGTCCTCCCAGAACACAGATGTCAGGGACTGGGAGTGGGGCAGATGCGCTCTAAGAACACTGGGCCTTTTCTTTCTGGTGTGATGCTCTTTTGAGAAGGCTCCAGCCTCACACCCTGCTTCTTTCCTTCCAGCCAAGGAGAGATGCCACCTCTATTGTGAATCCAAAGAGACAGGGGAGGTGGTGTCCATGAAGCGCATGGTGCATGATGGGACACGCTGCTCCTACAAGGACGCCTTTAGCCTCTGTGTGCGTGGGGACTGCAGGGTGAGTGCCATGAGGCAGTGTGGACCAAGGCTCAGGGGTGCCACCTCCTGGAATCCACTCTTGATCTGCTCAGGATCCACTGCCTAGGGAATGGTGCTGCCTATGGTGGACTGAGCTTTCCTACGTTGATTAACAAACAAGACAGTCTTCCATGACACGCTTTCTGGTTTTGGCACACATGGGGGACAAGTCCAGTAGAGTGTGGGATCTGGGCTCAGACTAAGCTCTCCATGCTTACAAGGCAAGCCTCAGCATCTCCGGGCATCTTCAGGGAGTGAGCAGGATGTAGAAACAATGTCAAGAACACCTTTCACTAGGTTCTGACTCTTGACGATTCCACCACCTCGTTGTTGCTCCATTTGGAACAAAGCAGCCTAAGCTTTGGGTGAAACCCCTCAGGGCCACCTTGGGGGTGTGCTAGGTGGGTAAGGGCAGTGTGGGCTAAGGGCAGAGGGGCTGCAATAGGATAGGCTCTGTGCTCTGCACAAACTGAGGCAGGGAGAGAGCACATGGCTCATCATGGCCACATGGGGTCTGCCTCTCTCCAAAGTCCTTCATCCCTCATGTCAGGAGCTGCTAAGAAGAGGTATACAGATCCTGTTGTGGGAGGGATCAGGTACTATGGGGGATGGGGGGGACTCAGGCAAGGATAGGATCTTTAAGGTCCCCTGCCCTCTTTTGCCCTGCAGAAGGTGGGCTGTGATGGGGTAATTGGCTCCCGCAAGCAGGAGGACAAGTGCGGCGTGTGTGGAGGTGACAACACCCACTGTAAAGTGGTGAAGGGCACGTTCACGAGGTCACCCAGGAAGCAAGGTGAGGAGTCCATCTTCTGCCCTAGGGTGGAAGGTCAATAGCGCCTTGTGGGGCTAGGCTCCCCGAATGCCCCCATCCCTGGGGGCTCTGTATAAATCCGTGACTATTTGGGGCTTGGGACTGTGAGGGTTAGGGGGAAAGAACCCGATTGGGGATCTTGAGTCTGAGCCACAATAGATATGGAGGATGGGGAACAGGGCCTGGGTTACAGACGGACCTCAGAAGCCTGAGATCAAGGGCCCCCAAAGGTCAGTCCCCCTCAGCCCTCCCTCCAGGATGCCCAGCTGTGTGTTATTGGCTCCCTCCCTCTCTCCTGCCCACAAATGGCTACCATCAGGACGTCCCTGAATCTAGCACATGGGGAACACCCACAAGCCTCATCCAAAACACAGCAGCCTGGTACTGATGCTGGGCTTCCATATGACCCAGCCCTATGGGTTGGCCCACAGCAGTTAACTGAATCTGTGGTCTGTCAGTCTGACTCTGACATGGAGCAACACCTCTTTGGTTTTCTTATGAAAGGCCACAGAGCAAACATGTAGGCTCTGGTGAGGTGCCGTGAGCCAGGAATGGTCTCGCAGGTCAGGTGCTCAGCACTGGCTGGACTTGCCGCCCCCACACATGGGATTCTAACATAGTTTGAGGATGGAGGGGCTGAGGTGCAGATAGGCCATGTGGCTTGCCTGGGCCTCCTAGCATGGCTGGGAGCTAGATTCCCACCTGGGTGTTCAGTGGAGGAGATTTCTAGTTGACCCCTCTCCTACCAAGTGCAGTTGGGAGTGTCTATGGTGGAGCTGCCTCGGAGGGGAGGCCTCTCCTGGGGTGTGTGCCTTGGAGTGGCTTCCTGTCTTCTCACCTGGCTTCCTTTCTACCCCCAAAGAGTACATCAAGATGTTTGAGATCCCCGCTGGAGCCAGACACCTGCTCATCCAGGAAGCTGACACCACCAGCCACCATCTGTGTGAGTCAGAGCCCAAATGTCTCAACACCTGTGAGACCTTGTTCTTCCATGATGGGCAGAGTAGCAAAGGTCAGAGCAGAGTACCCAGGCTCAAAGGCTTGGGTTGTGTAGGCAGGTCCTGAGATCAACAGCTCCTGATGAACAGACGTGCCTCAGCCCTAGTCCACCTGGCCAGTTCACTTCCTGGGCTTTCACACATGCATCTTCTTGGGGAGGTCAGAGTTTGAGATCAGAGGGCTCCTTTGGCAGCAGCTGCAGCCCTGTGTCCCAGACAGGCCATGCTCCTGCAGTTTGCAGAAGCATGGAAGACCACCCTGTGCAGGGGGCACTGGACCCATGCAGAAGTTAGCCTGGTCTTGGTAGAGCAATCAAGAGCAGGGTGTGACTCCCAAAGCAAATTGGGCTACTATTGGCAAGGACAGACCACCCAGCTATCAGGGGGGTCAGCTGGGAAAAACCGTATGACCCCCTCCCCACTAGCAGCAGCACGCTTGAGTGCCTTGTGTACTCCCTTTTTACCGTTCTCAGCTGTCAAGAACCTGGAGACAGGCAAGTTCATCTTAAATGAAGAGAATCACTTGGACCCCAATTCTAGAACCTTCATCGCCATGGGTGTGGAGTGGGAATACAGGAATGAAGATGAGAGGGAAACGCTGCAGACCATGGGCCCGCTCCATGGAACCATCACTGTCCTGGTGAGTGCCGTGCCAGCCCGTGGGTGCGCATGGCCCCAGGATACCCACGCTCCCTCTGGGTTCTTCAGGCTTTGCTCTAACCAGCCTCTTTCGCTCCAAGTCAGCCACAAGTGGGCATGGGCCCGCACCCCAGGGCTCTGGTTCCTGCACCCACTCTTACTGACTGTGGGTCATCTCCTCGCCAGAGGTTTTCATTTTTTCTATTTGAATGACATTCACAGCTGGTATACATCAGATACATTAATCTCTGCTGTTGTACTGAAATTCTCACACCCAAGAGATCAGAAACCAGTGACCAGTCACTCTGGACTTTGTGTCCAAACAGTACTGGATTCTAGGTCCCCTTTGTGCAGGATCACAAGGCTGCTCCTGGTAATGCAGAGTCCTGAGGGGGCTGGATTTCCAAGTCACTTTAAATTTTTTAGTACTAATTAATTGCTTAAGTCATGTAGTTTGTTTATCAAAACAAACAAACAACACACTGAGCCAGGCATGCATGGTGTCATGCATCTGCAATCCCAGCACTCAGGAGACAAAGCAAGAAGATTAAAGCAAGCTCCAGGCTAACCGGTCTACACAGAAAGTTCCAGGTTAACTGGGCAACTTAGCAAGACTCTGTCTCAAAAATGAGTGTGAGCTGGAGAGAGTGGGGGGGCTAGAGATATGACTCAGAAGGTAAGAAGACTAGAACTCGTACCCCAGCACCCACAGCAAGCAGTTCACAAATGCCTGTAACTCTAGCTCCTAGGGATTTGTCACCCCCTTCAGGTCTCTATGGGCACTGAATGAGTGCATGCAGGGTTTTTCTGTAACTTTGGAGCTTGTCCTGGAACTCGGTCTGTAGACCAGGCTGGCCTTGAACTCAGAGACACACACCTGCCTCTGCCTCCCAAGGGCTGGGATTAAAGGCGTGCACCACCACCACCTGGCTAATTTAAATTTTTTTTTAATGTTGTGACCGGCAGACTGTGAGGTCCTAGCTCTATATAGATTCTCTTTAGTTGCTGTCATACAAAAGTGCTTTGGCTGCACCTAAACTACAGTCAGGACTCGCTGCCACCATCAGGATCACTAGACAGTGGCACCGCATCCCATTAGCCAGGGAAAAGGTCCAAATTTTAAACTCCAAGTGCCGTTGTAAAGTTGAAAAACCTTTCAAGATGACCATATGTCAGGGACTGTCTGTCTCCCCTGGTTGTCAGTCTGCCTGATGCCTCTGAATTGGCTACAGTGGAAGGATGAAAAGCTGGGCAGTCAGACTCATGACCATGTTGGGGTGGGCCCAGGTTATCCCCGAAGGAGACTCTCGGATCTCACTGACGTACAAATACATGATCCATGAGGACTCGCTCAATGTCGACGACAACAACGTCCTGGAAGACGACTCTGTGCGCCATGAGTGGGCTCTGAAAAAGTGGTCTCCCTGCTCCAAGCCCTGCGGTGGAGGTGAGGGGGGTTCTCACTGCTGGGGCTCTTGGGCTTGATCGGAGGTGGGCATCCCTGGGTTGAGACTCACTGTGAGCCTAGAGGAGGCTGGGGCTGCTTGAATGGGCTTTTGAGTGAAGTTGCCTGGGCCAACAGCGCCCTCCTGACGGCAGCTCTGAGGCCGGGGAGTTTGTCCTGACAAATATGAGAAGGATGTGGGGGAGCAACACAGCAGTGACCTCCATTGGAGAGATCAAAGGCTTAGCCTAGGCTGGGAAAGGTCCGTGAGTTGGGAAGGGCAGGTGCTAGAGACATCAGGTAAAATGATGGCCTGTAGGGTGTAGGTCACATCACAGACAGCATCAGAAGGCGGAGAGCGAGGCAGCTTGGTGGGAAGCTGACGTGTGAGTGAATCAAGCAGCAGTACTAGCAAGACTCCAGAAGCACTGGGGACACTTCTGGGGAGCCCTCTAAGTCTATTCAGAAAAACCCCACAAACCTGATCAGTCTAGAGCTGGGGACTGGGAGAGATAAAGAGAAAGAGGTCTCCGCTGACCTCAAAGAATTTGACAAGTGGCAGGGGAATCTCATCCGGAGCAATGATACTCTCAGCTTTCTGGTCTGCCTCGATGGTGCGCCATCTCCACACCCACCCCACCTGGATCTCACCAGCAGGCCCTTCTGATTCTGCCTGCAGTTGTCAAGGCTCTATCTGCACCATCATCCTGTTGACCTTTGGGAATCCACTCTCAAGTCCCAGAATGACCTTCTAATGAATCAGGGCTGGAGATACAGATATGTGGTTAACATACTTGCCTTGCAAGGATGAGTAGCAGAGTTCAGATCCCAGAAACTGTGTACAAGTGGGATGGGCATGGAAGCTCTCCTATAATTCCAGCCTTGGAAGGCAAGAGATTAGGGAATCTCCAGGGCAAGCTGGTTATTGATACTAACCACAGTGGCAAGCTCTAGATTTGATTGTCAGGTCCTGTGTCAATCAATGAAATGGAAGAGGAATCAGGGATGATCGCAAACATCATCTGCGGGCCTCTACAGAATGCACACGCACGCACACACACACACACACACACACACACACTCACACATATATATGAAAAACTAAAATAAAGGCATGAGCCAGACCCTCCCCTGTCCTGTGTTGTGACACCTCCAGTAGCTCCCTCCTTTTGTGAGACCAAAGCCAAAATTCTCCCTGTGTCCTCTGAGGACCTCGCAAGCATCTGGGCACACTCATGTTCTATGCCTTACCTCCCCATCTTGGTCATACCAATCTTGGGTGTAGTATTTGATTTCCGTCATTGTAATGAACCCCCGAGATAATCAACTTATAAAAAAGAAAACTGTATTTCCACTCACAATTTTGGAGGCTTTGTTCCATGGTTAGTGGGTCTCATTGCTCTGAGCTGTGTCCAGGCAGCAGATCATAGCAGGAACAGATAGACAGCAGAAGGATCAGCTTTCCGCCTTACCTGCCTAGCCTAGCCGGTAAGAGAGGGAAGAAAGGGCTGGGTTCCCAGTCTCCGCTTTGGAGACCACATCCTCAGTGATCTCTTAGGCCCCACCCCCTTCAGAGAGCCCTGCAGGATGGAGACCAGGCCTTTCACATCCTTGCCTGATCCACAGCAAATGCTTGTCCTGAACACACATTGCTTCTCTGGGGGAAATCTGGCACATCTCACTGTCCCCTCCACCCCTTTTCACGGGTCAGCAACCCTTAATCCTCTGCTTCCCAAGATGCCTTTGAATGCCCAGTCTAGAGCAGGCTGCCTGGCTGTGCTTAGATTCTCTTGTAGACTCACTAGATACTATGGAAATTCAGGTTCTGTTATTCTCTGTCCTGGGGTGGGGTGCCGTGCATTGGAGGAGGCTGAGCGGTACTCCCAGCCTCTAGCCACTAGATATCCCAGATATTTCCCATTAATCTTGGAGAAGAACAGTACCCACATGGAGAAAGACTGTAGGAGTCAGTGACAACAAGGAGCCACGCAGACCAGGTGCCCTATGTTGGTTGATCAGACCCCAAGATAGAGCAAATGGCTAAGTGATAGAGGAGAACCATCAAGAGAGCCTGCATTCTTGCCCTCCCTTTGATGGGGTCAAAGGTGAGTTCCTACAGAGATCTCACCAAGGCTCCTGCCTCGCTCTCTAAGTCATTTTAAGGGCAAGGAGGAATAGAGCATGGTGGCCCAAGCCTGTCGTCTTAGCCCTTGGAGGACTGAAGCAGAGGGATTACAAGTTTGAGGGAAATCGGGACAAAGAATGAGTTCAATGCTAGCCTGGACTATAGAAAGAAGAAAGCAGAGGCAGGAGGAGAATGGGGCCTATGGGGGTCCCACTGCCCCATTGAGCCCCTTCAAGCTCTCTATCTCCAGGGTCCCAGTTCACCAAGTATGGCTGCCGCAGGAGGCTGGACAGCAAGATGGTGCACCGAGCCTTCTGCAGTGCCCTGGCCAAGCCCAAAGCCATTCGCCGAGCTTGCAACCCTCAGGAGTGCTCCCAGCCTGTGTGAGTACTGGAGAGGGCCACAGCCAGGGGGTACACTGTGGGGGAGGGGTGAGTGAAACTGGTCCTACCAGAAGCCCTGGGCCTGGTATCTCTTGGTGTATTAGGATTTTTACCCACCCCACCATGGTTTAAAGGTGCAGGCCCACTTCTGACCCACTAAATGGAAGCTCCATGTGCATCTCATAAAAGACAAAAACTGTTAACACTTAGGTGGGGAAACTGAGGCCCAGAGGTCCTGGGTTGGCTTTCAATGATGCCCTAGATGTTTCTAAGCAACAGTGCTGATTCTCAGACCCTCAGACTGGCAGGATGTATTTCTGGGCCCAGGTCAGGGAAGGTGGCTGGATAGAGGAGAAGTAGGGACAGGAGCTCAGGGAGGGTTCATAATGCCCTCAGATGATGAGACTGTGGTAAGGATAAGAACCCTTTAGGCCACTGATCCCATAAGAACCTGTTGGATTCTGACGATTCTGACAGGCAGGGGCGTATCTGAGGCTTAGCTTCCTCTCCTCGTAAGCCTGCACACATGGCAGGCGCTTTTGTGAATGGAGGGAAAGCCTCAGTTCCCAGAGGGAATGGGCTGACATCTCTGCTCTTACTGCCCACCGGGGCCACAGCCAGACTGTTTCCCTGACCACCTGCCATTCCACCCGGCAGGTGGGTCACCGGTGAGTGGGAGCCTTGCAGTCAGAGCTGTGGGCGAACCGGCATGCAGGTGCGCTCCGTACGCTGTATTCAACCCTTGCACAACAACACCACCCGCTCTGTGCACACCAAACACTGCAACGACCACCGTCCTGAGAGCCGTAGGGCCTGCAACCGTGAGCTCTGCCCTGGGCGGTGGCGGGCTGGGTCCTGGTCCCAGGTAAGCTGTTCTCTTGGCCCGATGTCCTTGACCCCAAACTGAGCTTGGAAACGTCTGAGCGAGACAGCCATTCCATTGATATAACTCCTGTCCTCCAGGCCACAGCTCAGGTTTGAGGGCACCAGTGAGAGCCATAGCACGGAAGTCCAGGTCTTCCATCAGGGAATCAGCTACATAGTGATGGATTGGTGGACCTCAGATCCCAGAAGAACAGGGAGCAGATATTTACCGTGCATAAATTGCACTGCTGGTTTAAACTACCTAGTAAAACTGATACAGCCTGCCCCAAGGCCATAAGCATGCAGAAGCTTTTTTTATTATTGTTATTTTTATCTTTATCACATAGAACTTTCCATGAGTTAGGCCCCCAGAAATTGCACAAGAGTCATTCCTCAAAACAGGCTGTTGCTTGGGAATGGGAGGAGCTTGAGAATCCCAAGTCTGCTGAGTGAGTCTTCCCCATATTCACGGTAAGGGTGCAGGGCTGGGTTGAATGAGTCACAGTGCCAGGAGCTGGGGTATGAGTGGACTTCTGGTTCCTCCCCAGGGACATGAAGTGTGGGGTGGGGAGCTAGAGGGTACTGGAGCCTTGTGTTAGAGGAGGGATTGCCAAAGGCTCCAGGACTGGATCGGAGATGTTGCAGGAGCCCCAGCCTACTACAGGTTTTCCTGGGCCTTCAGCATCCTTTAGCGAGAGAAGTGTGTTAAGCCATTTTTCATTAGCATAATGAGGTACTTGAGTGCCTTTTGTGGACAAGGTTGTGGGCAAACATGCTTTATAGTCTCTCCTTATAATGGCATTGCTTTCCTCCGTTGTCTAGATTATCCTACCTCTGCTTTGAAGCTGGCATACAAAGTGAAGGGTTTTCTTATGGCGTCTTCACACACGTGTTCTAATTCGCTTCCCTTTCCCATTGCCCTTCCCTCCCTTTTTCTTGTCCCCAAATAGTACCCCTCAAGAGTGTCATGATCTTCACACACACACACACACACACACACACACACACACACACACACAGAGAGAGAGAGAGAGAGAGAGACAGAGACAGAGACAGAGACAGAGACAGAGACAGAGAGTTCCATATATGGGGAGAAACAGAATTTGTCCTTCTGATCCCAGATTATTTTACTTAATAGAATAGGTTCTCTAACTGTTTCCGTTTTCTAGAAAGTGCCATGATTTCTTTTTTCCTATGGCTAAATAAAATTCCATCCCACGGGATCTAGGAAGCCGGCTCTGGTGGTTAAAGCACTTGCTGTGAAGCACAGAGACTGGGGTCTGGATTCCCCAGCACTCATAGCAGCCTGCGGGTAGTTCCGGAGCTCAGAGTCAGAGAGGCAATCCCAGGAGCAAGTTTGCTAACTAGATTAGCTGTGTCCGTAAACTCAAAGTTCGGATGAGAAACCCTGACTCAATGAATAAGGTGGAGGGTGGTCAAGAAGACTCTGAATGCCAGCCTCAGCCCTCCACATATACACACGTGCACCTGCCTATCATATATGCACCCACGCATCCAAACTTTTCTCTCTCTCTCTCTCTCTCTCCCTCTCTCTCTCTCTCTGCATCTCTTGATGGACAGGTAGGCTGTATCCATTTCCTGGCTAGTGCAGATTCCTCTGTAGTATGTTGACTTAGAGTCCTTTTGGTCTAGATGCAGGAGCAAGGGGCCAGATAGCAATTCTGTTTTTACTTTCCTGGGGACTCACTCTCCATAGGGATTTATGGCAGTGTAGAGGGTTGCGGGCTACTGTATAAAGAGGCTTCTTTAGTTCAAGGTTTTGAAGGGTTTAGACCATGGTGCTGGCATTATCAACCTTGCCCTTATGAGGGAGGAACTTATGACATATGGCACCATGATGGGCTGCATGGGAGAATGACCCCATGGAGAAGCAGGCAGCCAAGGTCCAAACAGGTCAGGAAAAGCCCCCAATAGGTTTTGCTCCCCTTCCCATTACCACCACAGCGGGGACAGAGCTGCCAACACACATGTCTGGAATGACATGCTCAGATTATATCCAAACCGTGGGAGGAAGGGAGGACCCAGAGGTGCTGGCGTCACAGTAGCCCTGAGGAATGGGCATATGCATTCTAGGAGAGCCCCCAAGGGACAAGACCCACACCATCTCCCATGGGTCACCAGTCACATGGCCAGGGAGCATGAGGCCCAGTATGGGAGGTAACCCTGATTAATGGTTTGTACCTACAGTGTTCGGTAACTTGTGGCAACGGCACCCAGGAGCGACCAGTCCTCTGCCGCACTGCAGATGATAATTTCGGTGTCTGCCGGGAGGAACGGCCCGAGACAGCAAGGATCTGCAGGCTTGCACCCTGTCCCCGTAAGCCCTGTGCCACCCCTGGCCCCCAGCATGCAACAGCCTAGGAAAGGGGAAGTGGGAGCTCAGTGCAGTCAAATTCTACTCTTCTTCCAAAATGGCTGGGCTTGTCATGGGTTCGTGGGTGAACTTGAACTTGAGCATTCCCCACCAGAGCTGAGACTTTCCCTAGAAAGAAATAGGATTGGGGGGGACGGTTGACATATGAGCGTCCTTGGACAGGTCCTGGTGTGCACAGAAGAGAAGTCTCAGCCCATCCCTGCCTTCATGGCATGATGTTACAGCACTAAACTCCAGTGACCCACAGTGAACCACAACCCAGCAGGAGTGTGGCCTATGCAATAGAGATGCCAGTGTAGGAAGGGGATGCCCGTGTGAGTAGAGGGTGCCCTGTGTTCTTTGATAACAGCAGCCAAGAACACTGCAGATATCTGGTTCAGTATCACGTGTGTTTCAACATCTTGATCCACACCGTAACTCAAGGCTAGAACCCCATTTCCACTATTCTCTTCTTCTACAGAGGACAGAGTGCAAGAGGTCCTGGTAGGGGTGTCAGGATTTGTCATCCTCGCCATGTTTCTCCAGTGACAGGTTAGAGTGACAAGGAACCCCAGAAGTAAGGTGGGGTAAAGAGGATGAAGGCACAGGACATGAATTAGTAGGTGGATGGGCCCGAAGTGGGTAATTGCAGAGACATTGCTGGTTCCCAGGATGCAGACAGGCGGGAGACTAGACCAGTTTATCCAGGAACAGGAACCATGCCTTCCTATTGCCCTGGGCCCCAGGATGCCTGGAGGCGAGCTGTTTGCTGTGGATGCTGTGGTGGTGGTCGTGGTTGTGGTCCTTTATGCTGCCCTGGCAGCTGCAGCCTCCTCTTTTCCTTCCAGGAAACATCTCGGATCCCTCCAAGAAGAGCTACGTGGTTCAGTGGCTGTCCCGGCCTGACCCTGACTCACCCATCCGGAAGATCTCGTCAAGTAACCGACCCGTTTATAACTCTGCCTCTGCCCTCCAGTGCATGCCCTGCGCCTTGTGGAGCTTGCCTTGGGCTCCCCTCCTCTCTCTCTATGGAAAGCTTCCCTGACTCCTGCTGAGCGCTCTCTGGGTGAATCTGTTTCTGCTGGGCCTGTGTGCTCAGCCTGCTCCTTCTGAGCTTGTCCGGCTTGGTGGCGGCGAGCGAGGGCCAGCCTCAAGGAGGCCTGGTCTGGGGACACTGGCCTCTTGTAGGGGGGCCAGGACCTGGTTTTGTGATGGCTTGAAAAGGGGCAAAGATCTGTTGTGGTGCCGGAGGGGCCTGAGGCCACTGTGCGAGTGTGACCACCTCGCCATGGCGACTGCCTCATTGGGCCACATCCCTCCAGGCTGAAGCTGCGGGTCAACTCCAAGGGGAAGCCAGCCCCATCCCCTTTCAGACGCCACCACCATTGAGGTGAGGCCACAGGGGTCTCTACGGTGTGCGTTTTTTTGCATCTCCTGTGCCGGGGTGACAGACCCCACGTTTCCTGCGGTGTCAGGGGCTTCCCGGCTGCTGCTGCTGTCGCTGCTGCTGTTGCCCTTCGCTGAGTGTGTCCTTTCTGACTTGTGAAACTATGGCCTGCTTCCGTCCGGCCTTTGCACCCAACCTACATGGCCCTCGGCCCCCCATCCCCCTGTCCTCTCATATGGAGGAGGAGGCAGGGAAACAGGTCCCTGAAATGGGACGTCATGGACACACCACCACTTCCATTCTCGGTCCATTTGCTCCAATGGCCTTTTTCTTGTTGTGTGCATATGACCCGTTCAGAGGATTGAAAGTGAGATTGACTGGTTGACGATTGACTGATTGACAGATATGGATGTGCCTCACCTACCAGTGTGAACAACTACAGAATACCTCAATTTTTATTGCTTTTTTTGCTTAGAAACACTATGTAGAAGATGCCTTAAAGTTGAAAGCTAACAGAATTGGCTGCTGACTCCAGCCTCAGGTGGGGGATGTGATCCGGGTAGGAGGCAGGCACTGAAGATCTAGGGGGACCCCACCCATATTGCCCACCTTTTGCCAAGGGTAAGGTTTCTAAGTCCAGATGGCCTTGCTCCCTCTCTGAACCACCCGCGTGTGAAGGGTCTTAGCCGGCCCTCCATCTATCTCTGACAAAAGGGGTCCTCCTCTGACACCCACCTGGCCAGTTGGCGTGGACTGTTTAGCGGAGACTCCCACAAGGAGCTCCCACAGCGCGGCCTTACACCCAGAGGGTGACACACCTGGGTCCTTAGCCGTGACCAATGTAGCACTCCCAACTGACAGTCCTACCAGCCCCACCTGGCCCCAGCCACCTTCATCTGTTAATAACTCTAATTCCTGCTGGACCATGCAGCCAAGCCTCCTCCTACTTCCCTTGGCACTAATTACTGTTATGTAAATAATTGGTGTGTTACTGCAAATTAATCCTCTCACGACTGTTAACTTCCAACTTTGACGAGGCGATGTGAGTGACCTGTGTGGTTGCAGATGGTGCAACACGGTCCTGGGCATTTGCCTCCTGTCTGTACGCACTTTGGTTTATCAGGGATATTTTATTAGTATTTTGTATGTACTTAATGACGTATTATGTAGGTTTCGTTGTCGTCATTGCTTTTCTGGGTTTTTTTCTTTCTTTCTTTTTCTTCCTTTCCATGAGACATTAGTGTGTGCCAAAGTGACTGTGAAAATGACCTTTTATTCTTACTAATGATGGAAAGACCTCTTGTCATGCATCCCACAAATAAACTCAATAAAAGTTCAGTTCAACTGGGAGCTTGGGTTTGGTCAGCTGGCGGCTTGTTCTTTTCACCTTCCTGACAGGCAGCGCTGAGGTGCCATGCGGTACCATCCAGTAGCACTAATCACCCGGTTTCTGGCTCCAGTGACTTCGTGGCCCCCCACTCCACCCCATCCCCCTGCCCAACATAGATGTTTAGGGCCCATCTTTCACTAACACACATAACCAAAGAATTTTTCCAAGTAGGTCTGCTGCACTCCATCTAGCACTGTCGGTGCAGAGTACCTTACAGAGATGTCTAGTTTTTCTGCTCCTTGGTGCTGCCTGGGTTGGCTTCTTCTTTTCTTGGGGTCAGAGCAGAAAGGTGGGGTACGGGTTATGTCTCCAGAGTCACTGTCAGGCCTTTGCCCTGCCTTGAGATACCTATTCATCAAGAGTAGATTCTTCTCAACCAAAGGATGGAAGAGGGGTGTGGTCTTGGGAAAGTTGGTTTAGGAGAAGCAGGGCAGTGGTCGTGTGTGTGTGTGTGTGTATGTGTGTGTGTGCATCCCTGCCTGCCTGTACTGCCTAAGTTTTGCTCTTAATAGCCACAGGGCCTGTGTCCTCTCACCTACCAACAACAACCAGGCAGTGGGTCAGAGTTCAACAGGGACCTCCTCACCTGAGGTCTGTCTTGTCCGGTGGGTGGGACTCCTGCTCCACATTCCTCAGTGCTGGGGAGCAGTAAGGTCAGGAGGTAATGAGAAAGAACAACAGGAGATGGCCCAGCATCTAGGAAATAGGATTGGCAGCCCAGGCTCTCGGCTCCAGAAATGTCACAGGAGCTGTGCTTGGGTCTACTGCCCATAACTCTGCTTGTTAATCAAAGGAATCATAGCTGAAGAGAAACGGGAGCCCCAGGATAGTCAGTCAGATCGACAACTCTGTGTCCCTCAGTCCATCTCTCCAGAGATGAGTCATGACTAGCTGCCCTCTAAGGGAACCCAGGGGGCCACCTGCACAGGGCCCTTCTAAGATCTGTGATGGAGGGGAAGGTGCCGCTCATTTTATAAATGAGTTTCATGAGGTTTTGATGATGAAATGAAATTTGCCATGATGTGTTTGCTCCCACCAAGGGATACCCCCTGTTTCTCTTTACGTTTTATAACATCGGGGAGAAATTCTTGCTCTTGCCTTTCCCAACATCTGTTACACTTTACTTTCCCTGTAACTCAGAGTTCTGTGCAGGACTATTCTCTTAGAGATTGGTGATTTTTAAAAGTGACTTTGCCTTTTCTCTGTATTCACATTTGAGGCTATCCATGGCACGTGTCTTCTATGAATGAATGACACTAGGATCAATTTTCTCCTAAAATAAATGATAACTTTTAAAGGGCATTCAAGAAAACTACTAACAGGAAGAAATCAGTAATCCAGATGGAATTCATATGCCACCAAGACTCTGGAAAGGGCACACAGGTCTCCCATCCAAGCTCTAACCAGGATTGGCCATGCTTAGCTTCTAAGATGACTTTATGAACAATGTGTACATTCTCAATGGTTTAGCATCATTGCTTTGAAGTCAATAGTTTTGGTCACTCATGGTGGTGCATGCTTTTAATCCCAGCACTTTGGAGGCAGAGGAAGGTGGATCTCTGTGAGTTCAAGGTCAGCCTGATCAACACAGTGAAAGCCTATCTTAAAAAAAAAAAATCCAAGAGTTCTTGCTATTTAGTTGCCCCTGGGAATGGAATGGAAGATCAAATATCATAGGAATTAAAATTATCTTGGCAGCCTTTCATCCACCAGAGCCTCGGGACACACAGCTCAGCCTGAAAGAAGTGTAATTGACAGCTCCTCTATCTAGGAGAGCTGTCTGATCAGCAGAATTGTTTAAAAAGACACAGCACTGGAGTGCTTTCAGTAAGGGTGGTAACCACCCCTTGATCGTGCAGATGGCTACATCCTGGAACAAAATGGTCTAGTATTTCCATATGACGTGTGCATCCCCCCAAACACTTTGTCCCCCCCCCCATTTCATATAACTCCCAATACAATGTAGCACGCACACATAGCTGTTTTACTGTGTTGTTTTTTGGAATAATGACCATAAAGGAGCCTGTTTAATATGGTGTTTTCCCAAATCCTGTCCATGGTTAACTGGATCCAAGGATGTAGAACCTGTGGGCACAGAGGGCTGACTGATATGTTTTTCTTGGTTGTTATTAGTACACCAAGCTTTTAACCCACGGCTTTTTTGTTTCACTTACGGGTTTGTTTGAAACTTGACGTTTTCAAAACTGAAGTCATGTAGTTCAGTCAGAGGAAATCAGACAGAGAAGTCTACCTGGTAAGCCAAATGGAAGGGGGAGGGCATCCTGAGAAGGAGATTCAATCCCTTAGGGCTGTCTCAGTCAACTAAACAATATCTTCGGCCAACCACTAATGGAGGGCTGCCCTTGACCCATAGTTAACCAATATTATCTGCAAAGAGCCAGACAACAAATATTTTAGGCATTGGAGCCTATTTGGTTTCTGTCACATTCTATGACACTATTGCTACAGTGGGAAGGTAGCCAATGATAATAAATGTGGCTGTGTTTCAATAAAACTTTATTTATAAAACCAGGTAGAATGATGACTTTGGCCATGGCTCTGTAGTGCTTTCTGACTTCTACAGGCAATCCTCAAATTGGCATGGCTGTTGGGTTTGGTCAGCTTCCAGCACCGTGGCTGGATGGAGCAGTGGCAGGACAGGATACATCAGATAAGTCTGGGCAAGTGTCCAAAGACCTGCACAAGCCTGAGTCTTCAGTCTCTGACAGAAACCTTGGGAGGTCAGGTTAGGACAGGTGGCACACAGTGAGGCTCTAGCTGAGGGGCAGGGAGCTGAGCTTTAGGGGTTGGTTCATTCCGGTTGGGTTTTGTTATAGTTACTACTTGGAGGTTACCATAGAGTTAACTCCTGCCACAAAATTACATTGGGGATACAGTTAAGCCCCATCCTTGAGGTTGAACTTGGCATCTCTCTTAAGAACAGAAAGTCTCATGTCTGTCTCAACGTGTGAGATGCACTGAAAAGGCGGGGTCGGCTGGTGATTGCTTGCAAGAGGGGAGCACTGCCGGTGGGGGTCTGTGGATGCCACCCCGCTCTGAGACTTGGACCCTGCGATCACACTGACTCTCCACACAAGCTCCCTGCCTCTGTGCTGCCTCTGGACTCTGTCACGTGCCTCCTCCAGCAATCTGCACTCGGCAGTGGGTACCTGCTCCCCTCACCTTGTCCTTTGGTTATTTCTCCCGCTCTTCTCTTTCAGAGGGCCAGTGCCAAGGCGACAAGTCAATGTTCTGTAGGATGGAAGTCTTGTCTCGCTATTGCTCCATCCCCAGCTACAACAAACTCTGCTGCAAGTCTTGCAACGCGCCCGGCAACCTCAGCCTCACAGAGGATGCAGGCGTGGACCCTCCACCGGGGAAGCACAATGACATCGATGTGTTCATGCCCACACTCCCGGGACCCACGGTAGCCACACAGGTGCAGCCTTTGTCAGGGCCTCCCTTGGAGGTCCCCCTCAATGCCTCCAGCATCAATGTCACGGAGGACCACCCAGAAACCAATGCTGTGGATGTCCCCTACAAGATCCATGGTGTGGATGAAGAGGTCCAGTCTACCAACCTGATCCCTCGACGACCGAGCCTGAATGTAAAGACGAGGAACCAAAGAATCCAGGAGCTCCTTAGTGCAGTGCAGAGAAAAGAGAAGGCCGGAAAGTTCTAATAAAATGGAAAGATTCGCATCACCAGCTTCTTCCCCTTGCTTATAGCTCTATTCCATGGGATGGCAAATCCTGTATTGTGCTTCCGAAAGGTTTGGAAAATAATACAAAAGGATATATATGGAGAGGGGTGGGCATGTGACAACCAGCCTAGCATGTACTTTCCAGGCTAGGAATGACCTAAATCTTGTGGTGATCTTAGGTTTAGAGTGGAATATCCAAGTTCCCTAGTTTCTATCAATGTTGGGAGGTCAAGAGGAATGACTCTGAGAGAGAAAAAACTTGGCTCCAACTTACTAAGCAGTAGTTGAGAACCTCCATTTCCTTGGTGATAATCCCCAAGGCATGAGACCACTGGGGACAATTAAGTGACATGATCAGTTGCCAGGTTGAGTACACTGAAGTGGAGGTCATGAGCCAAAATGACCTCAGAGGCCAGGCAGATGAGTGGATAAGTGTGGTAGTAGCTAGGAGTGGACTTTAACCAAACAGAGAGCAGCATCTATCTAGGGCTGTTGGTATGCTCCAACCAACCAGAGCGCAGCATCTATCTAGGGCTGTTGGTAGACTCCAGCTCTAGCTGCCAGTGTGACGTTTCTGCCTTACCAACCTGGCCTTGTCCTATGTTGCACAACCAGCGATCTGGGTTTCCTGTACTCAAAATATATTAACTTGCAGGGGTGGGAGTAGGAGAAGACCTGGGAGTTTTAGGTCTACACCCGCCAGGCTATAACCGCTGGTCTAGTTATCTGGTGCAGTTTCAACATCTGGTGCTCATGGTGTACAGTGTTTTGATCTCAGCCGAGCATGGGCTGTGCACCTATCTAGCTCTTTCCAGGAAAGTGATGAGACTTCTATAATGGGGATATGAGGACAGTTGCAAACAGGAGCCATTGGGTCAAAGGCAACAAGGATTCTCTCCTCTCCACTCACCTTGGCCTTGCTTGCTGCCTCCCAGGCTCTGGTGGACGAGCCCCAGTATTCTTCTCTGGCCAGCCTGGGCCAAGGCCACAGAGAGGAAGGATGTCCTCTGCTGGGGTGACCCAGCTTGTGACCCAAGGCCCAGGACTCTCCCTTTGCTGGGCTCCCAGTACCACCACTAGGGTGGTGAGGTACTCAGGTTAAGAGGGTGGGTTTTGCCTGTAGTCTGACCTTGGCCTTGCCCACTTCCAACCTTTAGAAGTTATAGAACCCAACAACACTGTCTGCCATAGGAGGTATAGGGTGGGAGGTGGGAGCCCCACTTTATCTTTAGAAGCTTAGATAACTTTGTTTGTGGTAGAATAGTGTTTGGTGAGCCAGATGTAAAGGGGGGGGGGATTAAAAGGGAGCCGCTGGATGATAGGAGGATGCTGAGCTTTGTCTCTCATTCCAAGGCATTTTGTGAGCATGTCACACCAACCTCCCCACATGGAAAGACCTAGGGCACATTAGCTCCCTAGCTGGGTCTAGCCTGACCATAATTCTGAGCTAGACGTTCTGTGTTCTCACCAATCACAGATCTTAGATTATTTTCTTATTGACCTCCCCCTTCCCCAGTCCTGCCAATCAGAGTAAGAATCCTGAGACTTGAGTCGGTGCCCTTATGGCTCATCCTCCACTGAGTTTCAAGGTGCTCAGCGTGCTTGTGTAAATCTGCATGTGCGTGTGTGCGTGGGGGGGGGGCAGGGGTGTCTATGGATGGTCTGTGGAAAGAAGTCAGCACACAGAGACAGCTGGACTAATGTTTAAGATGGTGCTTAACTTTATTCCTAGAGGGTGGACAGACCCTGCCACCCTTTCATTGCCCCCACACCCCACACATACTACTCACTGCCCAGCTCCCAAAGAACCAAACTGGAAAAATGCCTTTGAATATGTCTCCTAGGATGTGGTTGAGAACAGTTCTGCTTTCCTGCCTCTTTGAAGCAGGGAATGAATCCTATGGCTGGCCCTCATTTGTTGAATCCAGGTCAGCTGGGTTCACCCACAGGTTGAAGAACTGAGTATTTCCCATCTTCAGTAGAATGCAGAGGAATGTTCTAGACTTATAGTAGCCAGGATATGGCTGAGTTTACCCATTCTAATGGCTGTAGGATAGTAACACTCCATTCTCCGATCCCAGTAAAGCAGGGCTTCATAGATGCCCTAAGCTGGACAGCCCCAGCAAGTCAGATGCTCTGAGGGAGATGAGGTCCCTCATGGCATCCTTGGTGTCTTGGGCCGGGGGCCTCCAGGCCTCTATGGAGCTAGTGGTGCTCATGGGAACACAGTGCCCACTGGGCTTAGAGACACTGTGAGTTCCTGAGTATGGGACTATCCGGAGAACGGATTTAGAAGCAGCCCTAGGCAGTCAAAGCAGTTACCTCTGAGGCATTCTTGTAGCCCCAGAGGCAGGTAGGTGTCCTCTAGAAGTCTTCAGCACTGTGCGATCACCCAGACTGTCCTACGTCACCCAGAAAGAACTCCCAAGGCACCTGGGAGTCATTTTTTATTCTTAGGGAGAATCCGGCCACATTTGAAGAAAGTCCCTAGGAAATCCCGTGGAATCTCGCATATAAACCTCACATTTGTGTTTTAAGAGTTGTCTTTTGGGGTCTGTTTTAAGTATATAACTGGTACTCAATAGCAATGTCTTTGTCCGAGGTAACATTCTGACTCTATTTACTCCTGTGTGACAGGTAGCCACCAAATGGAGCCAAACATGGTGCTCAACTTAAATCACAACATTTTATCTGACAACAGCCATTGATGCGTTTTTGTTCTGTATAGTAAAACTTGACTCTTTACTTTCATAACTTATTAAAGCATCTGTGGTTTTGCAAATCATGACCATGTTGGTTTGTTACCTTGACTACACTCATCCCCAGCCTAAACTTGGGAAGGAGAGACGTGTCACATTGGCATGCCCATCTTGGCCAAGAGCCCCAGACTCCTGGGGCAGGGAGACATCTAAGAACACTGGCTATGGCTGCTTAAATCAGCACCCCATGGGGGAGAAGGGGCATCCTCTTCCAATTTACCTTGGGATATGACTTAGCCAAGAGTCACTTCAACCCAATTACTGTGACCCTTTCTCTTATGAGTAGGCTTTCCAGGAGAAAATACTAGTCACTGAGCTAAATTTGAAATCCAGAGAAACAGAAACACTTTTAGAGTAAAATAAGAGACATTAAAAAAAAGGAAAATTTTCTGGAATTCAAGCTTAACTGGAAGGCCTGGGTGTGTATTTTCTAATTTTAGGCAGCCAACCTGTTAGCAGCATTGCACTGAGGAAGTGTTCTCTATCACCCACTGTGTGCTAGCCAGTTTTGGGGAGTGGGGTAGGGAACTGAGGGGCAGACTCCTCTAATTGTGTAAAATCCTTGGGGGAGTGGCTGTGAAAATACATAGTTGTCAGCTATTGGGTGCTACATACTAGGAATGCCCCATATTTTAAAAGCTTAGTTATTCTAATAATATCTTTGTGTATTAATTTGATAATTCTTAATAACTCCTGACTGTAGATTTTAGTTTGTATTTCTACAGTTTTGTCAACTTCTACTTTTTTATAAAATCACAGGCCACTTCACTATTTTGAGGGTCACTCTGGGACACATGCAAATATCTAGTTGATACTGCCTTCTTGGTGACATCATTCAATGATGAGGTGACAGGCATTTGTATGAGTTGTGCAGTTTTTAACACCGGCTGTTTGTTTTAAAAAGTTTACTTATGTGTGCGTGTGTGAATGCCACATGTGTGAGGCTTCTACAGGTTACAAACATACTCATGGAAGATGAACTCTCAAACCTGTGTTTCTCTGAGCACAGGAAAGGATTCGGAACAGAAACCTCACATTTATCACTTTATAAATCATTTTTTTGCCTCAATTTTTATTAAATTTAAGCACACATACAGACAAGTTTAAAGGGTGACCAATAAGAAACTCTATATCTACCACGGAGATTCAACAATCATTGATCAATTCTACAGTTTCAATTTAAAATATCCTGCAGACAGGATGACTTGTCAACTTAAAACTTTTGCATGCATGATAGGGAAATATAAACTCAAAATCTTTCCTATTCTAAGAAAAATAAGCATACATTATCTAATACCTATTCTCACCTTTGTATTTTCCTAAACATCCCCCAAATGTCTTTTTACAGTTTTTTTCCTGACTACACTTCTCAATAAAGGATCACACTTTGTATGTGGCTGTCTTGGGTGCCTTGGAGGAAAAAGCCCACTTTTGTTCTAACACACTGGCTATTTGAAAAGAGCAGCTCCATGGTCATTTCCAATGTCTCAAACCCTACTTCTGTCTATGACTGTATACTCTAACTTGTTACTCTCAATTCTCTGTAAACAGGAAGGTAAGTGTAGAAAAAGAGATTTCTGTAGATTTCTGCTAACTGGTTTTGGCAGTGTATCACAAATAATAGTGTGCTTCTACAGCCTTGGCAGAAGCCACAATGGTTGCTGCTCACCTGAAGGGGAACTCTGCCTGCCAGAGCTCAATATGAAAGCAGGTGCTTCTTCTGCATAGCTCAATGAAGGATCTGCATAGCTGTCTTCTTTTGCGGTTACGCAATGTTCCTTAAATTTTTTTAATGCATTAGGTAGATTTTACAATCAATCTTTTTTTTGCCAGATTTAATGACAATAACAGTTGTTAAATGATTTTTCTAAGCTTATTGGTTTTGTATATAGTTAAAAAATAGCTTTCCTCAAGTAATTTTATGAAGTTTTTTCCCATAGCCTTTTGAAAATATTACATCCAATTCTGTTTGTTTGGTTGTTTTTTTTTTTTTTGATATATGAAGCATCCTAAGTTTGACCAAAGGATGCATCTTCAAGTCAGTAATTCTAAAATGATGCTTTATCATAAGGATATACTGTAGGTGCATTTATATTCCCCCTGTACCAAACATGCAACCAGCCATTTCTTCAAGGAGTCTTGAATCCTTTTGATGGTGAATGGCATTTGCAAAACAAAAAGTGGGCAGTGAGCATGCTCATGGTACTAGGGACGGAAGAAATTCCAAGGTTCATCTGGAGCCTTATTTTTCTTACAAACACACTTAAAAACATAAAACTACTCTGATGAGCCAAAAGAAGTCAATCAAGAAACATGTGCTGAATGCCTGCTTCATTCTAATTCTTTCCTCAGACAGAGGGTCTAATTAATGCTCTTAGGCAATTTCTAAAATGACAAACCAATGCAGTAAGGAACTAGGACTAGGGGAGATATAAAATATTAAAAGTGATGAGTAGATAGTTTAACATAAAATATTCATCTATAACTTTATACTTAAATCCTAAGGGCTGGAGATATAGCTCAGTGGTAGAGCACCTTCTGAGTATGTATAAGGCCCTGGATTCAGTCGTCAGCACTACAAAGAAAAAGTATTAGAAGCTATATAATAAAAAGACAGCCTTACATAGAAGCATACCAAAGCAATACCTCCATCTGGACCTTCGTTTGCTTTCAGAATTTAAGTAGTTATTATAGAAGCAGGTATAATCAGAGACAGAAGAAAAGGAGGTATGTTCTCGACTCCACTACCAAGACCAAAGGAGGAAACTCTAAAGATAAATGATTACATCACTAGCAGTAACATTTGAACAGGTTACAAAACAGTCTTCTTGAGCCTTGAGGATAGAAATGAACCTGTAACTATCATAGATTATCAGAGCTGAAGACCTCGGTTCTTGAAAGGCTATAAATTAAAATCCCTCCTGGTCCTAAAGTGCTAACAGATTCATAGCAAGAAACTCTGTCAACATTGGCCTCTACAACACATAACATACTGTTTGGATGACAGTCTTCTCGCCTGTGTCTGCTCAGGCCAACTTCTACAGTACTAAGCCTCTATTCAGCTATATAGAACCAGATCCACTATAAATACAGGAGAGCAAAAGAAAGTTCCCCTTGGGAGAAACATTTAATTTGAAAAAGTAAAATTCTAAATTAGTAAATTGAGTATTTTTAATCATTATGGACTACGGAGAAAAAAAAAGTCCTAAACTCTTTGCGTGTATATGTATATACATTAGCATACACATGAACACATGTATATGTGAGTATATACATGTGGCCATTTGCCTCTGATGATGCTTTGGTCAATGATAGACAACATATATCACAGTGGTCTCATCAGACTATAACTGGCCTGGAAAATTCCCACTTGCCTAATGACATCAGAGCTGCCATGACCTTATAACCATTATAACACCTTAGGCACAATGCAATACTCACTTGTGCAAACAAACCCGCTGTGCTGGCAGCCAGATAACATTGCAGCACATACAACTATGTACAATACATGACACATGATTAAGGTGACAAACTGCATTACTAGTTTACTCATTTGCTATACTATACTTTTATACACATCCTACTAACAACATTTATACTAAGCATGATGGCTCATAACTGTAATCCCAGGATGTGGGAGGATGAGGCAGTAAAACTGCAAATTCAAAGCCCATCTGGGCTACATAATGAGCTCAAGGCCATCCTAGGCTACATAGTGAGACCCTATCTAAAATAAACAAGCAAACCAATAGAAAATTACTATAAAAAGTATGGATACATGCATGCATAACAATTAGTAAAAAAAAAAGGCCATAAATTTGAAGGAGAATAGGGAGAAATTAAGGGGTTTGGAGGGAGAAAGGGAAAGGAGAAACATTGTAATTAAATTATAATCTCAAAAAAAAATCTCTTAAAAGTATGGTATGTTTATCACCTTAAGAGTGATTGGCTGACCCAGACCATCCAGGGTTGTGCGAGTGCAATGATGTTCCTATAAACATGAAACTGCCTATGAAGCACTTTCAAACTGTATCCCCAGTTAAGTGACATGACCATATATACATAAAAGTCATGTGTGTGTGTATATATGAATATATATGCATACATACATATACACACATATGTCGTATAAGGGGCACTTCATAAAAGCTTCCTTGTTGATACACAACAATTATTCTTTTCTTCCATAGTGGTTCTTTATGAAAAGGAGGTCTCCCTATCCCAGCTCACCACTTTAGGGACTGAGGCCCCGTAATTCTTCACATTACCAACTATTTCAGAGACTATCTTGAAAAGAAAATTCATACATGGAAGTTCTTAAAAAGAGATGACTATCCCATGAACAATGCTTATACATAAAGCAACTTACTCATGTGTCTTTTTTAAATGAGGCCTTTCAAACTTCTTGTAAGAATTTAAAAAAAATGACAGATTTAAAAAATCTTTTTGTAGTAGTTCTTAAATGGTTGACATCAGCATCCTTTGTATTTTTACTGTTCAACTGTCCATGACTTAGAAGTAACTATTTGTTGTAGAAGTAAAAAAGATGAAATCCATTTTGATTTGTACTCTAGTTACTACTCTTCTGGTTGCTGTCTTGGATTAGAGGGATGAATTAAAGTTCTCAGGCTTGTCTCCTCTCAGAAATTTCTGATATGGAGTGAGGGACGAGCCATAGATGAAAGGTGTCCCGTATTCCTTCCATTTGTAGAGCCTTTCCTTCAGGTGGACTTTTTTGTGTCTACAGAGGTTTGACCTATAGCTGTAGGCTTTCCCACATTCCATACACTTGTAGAGCTTCTCTCCAGTATGGATCCGCTCGTGTTCAGTGAGGAACGAATACTGGCTGAAGGCCTTTCCACACTGATTACACTGATAGGGCTTCTCTCCAGTATGGATCCTCTGATGTCGATAAAGGTTGGATTTACAGCCAAAGGCTTTCCCACATTCTTCACATGTGTACAGCTTCTCCCCAGTATGGATCTTGCGATGCTCATTGAAGGATGAATACTGGTTGAAGGTCTTCCCACATTCATTGCACTGATATGGTTTCTGTCCAGTATGAATTCTCTGATGTTCAATAAGGGTGGAGACACGTGTAAAGGTTCTCCCACACTGTAAGCACTGGCAAAGCTCTTCTCCAGTATGGAGTCTCTGATGTTCAGCTAGGGATGGGAACTGACTGTAGCCTTTCCCGCACTCAGAACATTTATAGGGTTTCTCCCCTGTGTGGATTCTCTGATGTCTGTGAAGCTTTGCTCTGCAATTAAAGGCCTTGTCACACTCGGCACATTTGTAGAGCTTCTCCCCGGTGTGAATCCTCTGGTGCACAGTGAGGGTTGAACACTGGCTGAAAGCCTTCCCACATTCCCGGCAACGGTAAGGTTTCTCTCCGGTGTGCACCCTCAAGTGTTTAATGAGTGTGGAACTGCTGCCAAATGCTTTCTCACACTCACTACACTTGTATGGCTTCTCTCCAGTGTGGGTTCGCTGGTGAGCCAGGAGGGAAGATCTATGGCTGAAGTTTTTCCCACACTCACTACACTTGTAAGGTTTCTCCCCAGTGTGAAGCCTCTTATGCTCAAGAAGATGAAGACTTTGGGTAAACCTCTTCCCACATTCATTGCAGGCATAAGGTTTTTGTCCTGGGTAAACCTGGAAGCTTCTCATTAAATCAAAATCCTGTGGTAAATCCTTCTCCAGAGTGTGATACATATCAGGTTCCCTTTCTAGGGGACCACTCTCTTGTGAGACAAGTGCTTTATCTGTAAGCAAGGGTTTCTCCAGCTCAGGGTCTGTGGGATTTCCATCTTCACTGACAGTTTCCTTGGGTGATGCTGCCCCCTGCTCATGAACTTTCTTTTCTTGCTCCTGTGTTGTTAGGTTCTCAGATTTCACAACTTTTCCAAAGTTGGTTTTCCAGTGAGCACCCTCAGTGGATTCATGGTTTACTAGCCCATGAGATGCTTCTTCAATAAAAATATCTTGTTTGGGAAGCAATGTTTCTAACTCTGGCCAAATCTGGAAACCTAAAAAGAATTGGAAGAATTAATTCTTCCTTTGCTGGAAGAGAGACATGGTGCATGAGAAGGCAATGAGATCAGCAGCAACACATATAAAAGAGGTGTGGTGTATCCTGACACCAAACATGGACCCGAAACTGGAGGCAAAGTAGTAAATGTACACTTAAGAAGCAGGGTAGGAGAATAAACTGGACCAATCAATGCAGTTCTAGAGAAACAAAAGTTAAGACAGGGAAGACAGAACAGAACAGAGAAGGATATGGACCATGTGAAGTGACAGGCTGAAGTAAGCGACCATGGAATTCACTCCTCGGGCTTTCCTCACTTCCTCCTCTGCAAACACAGTAGGCAGGCAGGTAGCTCCCTTTACTTTCTTCTACTCACATGTCACTTGCGTTATTTCATTTTTTTTCATGCTACCTCTGAAACAGTCAATAATTTAAAAATGTTTGGGCTGTTTTTCTTAAAATTGTGACTTCATATTCAACTGTACATTCATCACAGCCTGAGAGAGGGGAAAGAACTCTGCCAAAAAGATGGTATTTGGATATTAGAAATTGCAACAGCCCCAACACAACCATGTTTGATCTAAGTTGCATACATTGATCAAAAGGAAAAACTATAGAGCAGGTCAGCCATCTGCACCAATCTACATCTCAGACCGAATGAACGCCATGTTTTTCTGGCTCTCTCTCATCACTTTCCTTTTTTTTTTTTTTTTTGGTTTTTCGAGACAACGTTTCTCTGTAGCTTTGGAGCCTGTCCTGGAACTCCCTTTGTAGACCAGGCTGGTCTCGAACTCACAGAGATCCGCCTGCCTCTGCCTCCCAAGTGCTGGAATTAAAGGCGTGCGCCACCACCGCCCGGCCTCTCATCACTTTCTATCTTTCTGCTAGGCAAATGGAGAAATGCTATTTTCATTTCTTCTATAATTGGAACCAGAAGACTATAATCTCTTTATAGGAATCTTATGCGAATAATGAAAATCTGTAAATTTTGTGAAGTCAGTTTGTCCTGAAGGTCTGAGTATGCCCAACCCCAAGTTCAGCTCTGACTCTATCGTTCTTTACTCAGTCCATACTGAATATGGATTAAGGTTACACCATTGCATTGGGATGGCTGCATGTCAACGAGCCATCTGTTTAAATACAATAGGCCCTAAACACACAACAGGGCTCATTACTTACAAAATGTCACTGTTGCACCGCCCTTCCATGACATACTCATGCAGATCCCTGCGTCTCCATTTCCCAGTGGCTCACTCACCTCGGCAGGTGTCTTTGCGATCTTTTTTGGCCATGCAGGGATCTTGTCCTTTCTGCAGTTTGCCAATCACCCAAGGTATTGAAAGCTGAATCCCTGCTCATGAGAAAGGGAACAGAGTTGGGATGAATGGCTTGAAGAGCAATCTCAGAGCCTCTTCAGATACCACTCAACAACAGGGAAGGTCAGTCTTGGAAGGTGGGACACACAGTGTAATCACTTCCCAAGGGCAATGAAGATTAGGGCATGGGGAAACAAGCAAGGGCCGATTCAAAATTACTACATGGTTCTGGAAATGAACTTCTCTGAGACAGGGTATGCCTGTACAGTTTTCAATAACATCTAAATGTCTTAGATGAATTTAGGACTATCAGACTACATAAACTGGGATGCAGTCACTGGCCTGTGTCAGAAAATTGGGAGCAAGATGCAAGGAAGGGCAAAGGGAGAAAAAAGCATAAACAGTATGAGAGAAAACAGACTTTCAATCTTCAGAGATGTGACTTCCCCTGCAGCACAATGGGGTAGAAAACAGTGGGTTCTGAACCCAAAGAAGCAGCTTCATGGTACGGGAGAATTGTCTGTATTTTGTCAATCATGTTTTAAATAAACGCTAATTGGCCAGACAAGAAGTATAGGCGGGTCAACCAGACAGAAAGTAAAGGCAGGGCGATGAGAACAGAACATTGAAAAGGAGAAAGCCCATTTCTCCCACTCCTGCTCAGACTCCAAAGAAACAAGATGTGAGCTGCCCTACTGAGAAAGGTACCGAACCATGTGGCTAACACAGATAAAAACAATGGGTTAATATAGGCTACAAGAGCTAATATGTAGCCTAAACTAATGGGCCAATCAATTTTATAACTTATGGAGATCTCTTGTGATTTTCTTTGGGGCTTGCCAGCTGTGGGGTACTGGGCGGGACAGTACCGATCGTGTTACAGCTTCAAGATGTTCTAATACATTGTTTAGAAGCAAACCACTTACCCAGGGAGGCCAGGTTGCTGTAGTTCTCCAGCATCACCTCCCGGTACAAGGTTCTCTGTGCAGAGTCCAGATGCAACCACTCATCCTGGCTGAAGAACACGGCCACATCCCTGAATGTCACAGTCTCCTGGAACAGCAAACCCATTCCTGCTTACCCTAGAGCAACAGTTCTCAACTTGTGGGTCACAACCTGGGGGTGGGGGCTCAATTGCTTTCACATCAGATACCCTGCATAACAGATAGTTACATTACAATTCATAATGGTACAAAATTACAGTTATGAAGTAACAACAAAAATAATTTTATGATTAGGGGTCACCACAACATGAGGAACTGTATTAAAGGTTGCATTAATCAGGAAAGTGGAGAAGCACTGTCATAGACCATCATCTTCATCATCTGGATGAAGGTAACACTGGGTGCATACCAAGAAATTCTGACACTATCTCAGGATACTAGTATTCTGAATCACCTAGTTATGTAATTTCTCAGTAATAGTTATTAACTATTTTACTAAGCAAGTATTTATTAAGAACCCAGTAGAATCAAAGATATATGACACCAGCTGTGGAGGTTAGGGATTAGAGGGGGCAGAGTCCCTGACAGTAGGGAATTAAAATCCCAACCTAAAAACTTTATAGTGTTTCTAAGCAAGCACAACCTTCTTTCACTCAGAATCTAAGCAACAGAAAGAACAATATAAATCAGAATACATGTAGAGCAGTGAAGGAAAGCTGAGGAAAATGCCAACCAAACACTAAACCCCTTCTTCTAAAACATAGTTTAGTGAGTATGTTAGGGATTACGGTAGGAACTTTGCAAACACTATCACCTTTAAATCTTATGAAAACCCTTTAAGGACAAGGCTATAGTTACAGCATTTTGCAAATGGAAAAACATGTCTAGAAAGGTTAAATAACCTAGGTCAGGAAGTTGACTCAGTGGATAAAGGCACTTGCCTCCCAGTCTTGACAACCAGAGTTTGATGCTGAGTACCCACATGGTAGAAGAGAACCAACGTCTACAAGTTGTTTTCTTATCCCAAAACTTGTGCTGTATCTCAGACATACATACTCAATAAATAAATAAACGAGTTAAGTAACCTTCCCGAGAGAATATTAGAAAAAAAAGGTGGAACTAGGGTTCGAGTTCAGGTAAGCAGACCTCTAAGCTACTATCAGGTTTCTATTCAATGTGAAAGTCAAAAGAACCATAGGATTTGTAAAACTGTACAGATGTCAGACTGCCATTAAGAAAGTAATTTCAGCCTGGCGGTGGCGGCGCACGCCTTTAATCTCAGCACCCAGGAGGCAGAGGCAGGTGGATCTCTGTGAGTTCAAAGCCTGGTCTGCAGAGTGAGTTCCAGGACAGCCAGGACTACACAGAGAAACCCTGTCTCAAAAAAACAGAAAAGCGGGCTGGAGAGATGGGTTAGTGATTAAGAGCACCGCCTGCTCGTCTAAAGGTCCTGAGTTCAGTTCCCAGCAACCACGTGGTAGCTTACAACCATTGGTAAAGAGATCTGGTACCTTCTTCTGGTCTGCAGGCATGCATGTAGGCAGAATACTGTATACACAATAAATGAATAAATCTTTTTAAAAAAATAGAAAAGTAATTTCTTCCAAAAGAAACATAATCCCCAAATACAAGAAAGCACAAGTGAAGGAAAGAGATTCTTGTATTACAGAGATGAAGCTTTAGAACAATGTTATGGGTATTTTATTGAGAATCCATCAAAACGGGAAAAGTATATCATTTTATTTTAACCTTGCACTTTTACTACTGGGACTGGTTCCATCACAAGAAACACTCTCACCACTATGGAGGGACATTCCTCCAGAATGGTCCCTGGCAGGCAGGTTCCTGAGCCTGTGAATATGATGTGCATGACAATGGACTCTGGAATTGTCTACTTCACGGCTGTGAGACAGGCAGACAACCTAGATTATTATGCAGGTAGAGCTGTAATGACAATGTCATATAAGAAAGACTCAGGGGGCTGGAGAGATGGCTTAGAGGTTAAGAGCATTGCCTGCTCTTCCAAAGGTCCTGAGTTCAATTCCCAGCAACCACATGGTGGCTCACAGCCATTTGTAATGGGGTCTGGTGCCCTCTTCTGGCCTGCAGGCATACACACAGACATAATATTGTATACATAATAAATAAATAAACAAATATTTTAAAAAGAAAGAAAGACTCAGATGTAAAAGAAGCCTATCTAATAATACAAGCCAAGACTGAGGTGATGGAACTAACTTCTAGGCAGTGAAAAGGACAAGGAAACATTTTCCCTCTCAGTATCCGCCCACAACCAGCCCAGGAGACTGACAGCTTGACAATAAACTAGAGTAAGACTTCTGACTTTCAGAACTGTGAGGCGATCAACTTGTGCTGCTCTAAACAATGAATCAGTGGTAACATGTTACACAGCAAAAAACAAACAAACAAAAAACATAGAGGATAAGGGTAACCTACATGTTTAATAAGGCAATGAAAGGCAAATGATAATACGTGTTACATAAAATACATAGTCATTAGAAGAATGGGGTAAATTTGGACACCTGACACTAGATTTGATCTTAATATACTACTGCTACAAAACAATCTTTTGTAAAGTTCTATACATATATACACCTATGCAGGGTAAACACACAACACCCGGAACACTTCCCTAATTATTTTCTGGTGTTTATGGAGAGGGGCAGAAAAGCAGTCCTTCATTAATTTCTTAACATCCTCACAATTTTTTCTATGTGTTTGTTTCTTCCTTTCTTTCAAATTTGTTTTCAGTGCTGAAGATGAAACTCAAGGCTTCACTCATTTTAAATATGCACTCTACTGAAGTCTGCCTATAACTTAGGCAAACTAGGTTCATTCCTATTTATGATTTAATCTCTGTTTCTCAAGGACTTGGCTATGCCCCACCTGTAACCTTAACTATCAATGGGTCTGTACTGCCTGTTCTAGGAATGGCAATCATGTCTTTGTTTTGAAAGGTTATATGACCACCTTGCTATGACTATCTGTTGTCATGACTACCTTGTTATGCTGCCCACCTTGCAACCAAGTCTTTGGTTCATGAGGGAATAACTTGTTATATTTATGTTCTGCTCCTGTAACCCCGCCTATTTTGACCACCAAATCACCTATTTGGAACTCCCCTACCCTGAGTTATAAAAGCCTATTCTTCTCTATATCCAATGCAGGCCTCTCAAACTCTGCCTTAGTGAGAGGCATCCCTTGTACATGAGGAAAACACCTTGCTTTAATTAACTGCTTGTTTTAATTAATTGGTCATGATGATTTGGGTCAGTAGTCTTTCTCCTCACATCTTTGGGATTAGCACTACCATTGAACTACACACCTAATCCCTGAATTATTTCAGGGTATAATTTAGCTCAGTGGCAGAATACTTACTTGCCGGGCATACATGGGGCCTAGGTTCAGTCCCCAGTAACCACAAAAACATCCAGAATCTAACTGAATTTCTAAACCAGCTTTTCTATTGTACCTTGCTATGGTCTGGGTGTGAGATGTCCTTCCTCTACATGCTCATGTGTCTGAACACTCACCTGGTCCCCAGCCTAGGGCACTGTTTTGCAAGACTGTAGAATTTTGAAGCTGTGGCCTCGCCAGCAGAAGTGGATCGATCACTAAGGTGGGCCCTGGAGAAATCTCATTCCAGTTAGGGTTTCTCCTTTCAGATCTATCCAGATGTGAACAAGCTCTACTCAATACTACCACTGTCGGAGACCAATCTACTCTTGCTATTCCTTTTCCTGACATGATGAACTATAGTCCCTAAAACTGTGAGTCAATAAATTCTTCCTCTTTTAAGTTGCTTCTGTCAGATACCCTGTTCTAGCGACAAGAAGCTAATATATACTTCTTTGCATTATTGGTGGTTTCTCTAGAATCACAGCATTCTTAGTTCTTCTCTACAGCAAACATATTCTTCAAAGAGTAGCAGAAACTTGCAAGTATAGCGAACATCGCCATCTCTTCTTTATATTATGGCTATGGGGTTTTCCTAGTTACAGGACTGCACCCATCATACTCCTGTACAGCTTCCACTTAGAGGAAAGGGAGGCAGCACAGCAAGACTGAGTGAGGACGCCAAGATTCCGCTGCAATCCTCCTTAACAGTACACACAGACCTTACACCAGTATCCCTGGATCTGTGTGAAGCGACTTGGGTTGAGGAGCCCTCAGAGGAACTCTTACTTACCCAGTTACCTTTCTAATGCTCTAACCTGAATTCCCAGCTAGCACAACTTCCTTTTAGCTACCAGAACTTTCTACAGTCTTCCTTGTTCTGCTGGCAACAAGCAAGCTAAATTTCCTTGAGTCTGGGAATGTCTTCATTTTGCCTTCATTCTTGAAGACAGTCTTCAGTGGATACAGACTGAGTGACAGTTTCTGTCTACGTATGAAAGCCATTTGACTTTTTCTGGACTCTGGTTTCTGATGAAAAGTCAATGGCCACCATTTCTCTCTGTGAAACAATTTTTTGGTCTGCTTTCAAATTCTCATTTTTTGTAGTTTGCCTATGACTGTGCAGTTCAATATGATGGACAGCAGTCATGAGTGGCCATTACCACAAACTGTGGCTTCTCAGTGATATGTGCTGTGCATTTAAACATTTAACAGACTGGTTTACTAAGTGTGTGTGTGTGTGTGTAAAGACACACACATACATACAAATGTAAGCATAAAGACACATGCATGTACGCACAAACACTCAGTACCTTGATAATTTTATATTGGTTACATGCAAAATAATATTTGTATAAAGTGTATTAAATAAAACATTACTTGCTCCTGTATTTAATATTTAGACACTTGGACTACATGTATGGTTTACACACTACTGCCAGTGATGGGTGACTCTTATGAAAACTTCCTTCTCTCAAAATTCTCCTTTACAACTGCAAAATACATTTCACTCCCTAGATTCTGTAAGTTATATAATCACATTCCTGGTGGGTGGGTATTTATGTCTTTATTTTCTATGTGTATATGTATGTGTACACGTGTGATGTGGGAGTGTCATATCAATCTGTTGATTTCATTGGTTAAGTAATAAAGAAACTGCTTGGCTGGCTCTCATAGGTTAAAACATAGGTGGGAGGAGTAAACAGAACAGAATGCTGGGAGGAAGAGGAAGTGAGCTCAGACTCGACAGCTCTCCTCTCGGGAGCAGACGCCTCAGAAGAGACGCCATGCCCCGCTCCCGGGCAGACACACGCGATGAAGCTCCGACCCAGGATGGACGTAGGCTAGAATCTTCCCAGTAAGACCGGTGCTCACAGATTATTAGAGATGGGTTGATCCGGATATCAGAATTAGCCAGTAAGGGCTAGAGCTAAAGGGCCAAGCAGTGTTTAAATGAATACAATTTGTGTGTTGTTATTTCAGGGCATAAGCTAGCCAGGCAGCCGGGGTGCTGGGAACGCAGCCCCGCTGCTCATATTACTACACACGTGTGTTGCTGTGGAATAATCTTTTGTGCACTGTGAAGAAGCATCACTCTGATTGGTTTAATAAAAAGCTGAATGGCCAATAGCTAGGCAGGATCTCCAGGCACAGAGGAAGCAGGAAAGCGGGATGGACAGCACACAGAGGAGATAGTCGAGCTTTGGGGCAGCGCATAGATGAACAGGAATGGGTTAATTCAAGTTATAAGAGCTGGCTAAAAACAACTAAGCTATTGGCCAAGCTTTCATAATTAATAATTAGTTTCTGTGTCGTGATTTGGGAGCAAGTGGTTGGGACAGGAAAACGCCGCCTACATAAGAGCTAACTGTAGTGATATTTCATTTATATTTTAATAAATAAAACTGAGGATCAGAAAGTAAAACAGCCCCACTGGTCAGCTTTACAGGCCAAGCAGTGGTGACACACACCTTTAATCTCAGTAGCCACACTAGATTGCCATAGAAACCAGGCAGTGCAAGCCTTTAATCCCAGTCCTACATGGCTGGAGACAGGAGGAGACAGCTCTCAGACACAGTCTCATTCTGAGATTCCTGGAGGCAGGATTGCCATTTCGGACTGAGGCAGAGGTTAAGAGTCAGTGGTTGACTGTTTTGCTTTTCTGACCTTCAGGTTGAACCCCAATTTCTGTCTCTGAGTTTTTATTAATCATGCTTCAGCTAGTGGGACAAGCCTAAGCTATAGGCTGAGCTTTAATAATTAACAAGTCTCTGTGATGTTTTGTGAGCTGGCAGCCCAAAGAAAAATCTGTCTACAAGTTCCCAGTTGGTAGACTGTTTAGGAAGAATTAGGAGAGTGGGCTTTGAGGTTTCAAAAGCCCCATGAAAGGCCTAGGTTCTCCCTCTGCCTCCATCTTGTGTGTCAGACGGAGCTCTCACTACTGCTCCAGTGCTATCCCCGTCTGCTCAGTCACACTTCTTATAATGATGGCCATGGTCTGACCCTAGGAAAGTCACGCAGCAGCAGCACCTCAGTCCATGGAAACCGGCTCTGAGCGGCTGCTGAGCATCTTTTCCAGAAACATCCATTCATCCCAGGTAGAGAGGGCACCAACAGACAGGCACCAATTCTGTGTACCTCCAGCTTGGCAAACCCGTGCATTGACTGGGGTTTCTTATGGTGCGATGCCCCACCACAGCATGAGCAACTCCAGAAATGTCTCCAACCAGAGTCACTCTCCCAGCTCTGAGAGACCCTCACACTACCAGCTACCCAGTCCCTAACACACACACTTAGGGCAGGAACAAGTGGGGATCAGAATCTCAGATTAGGGCCTTGGACCCTCTTGTTCCAACCATGACATCCTCATTAGCACAGGCCTAGTTTTCTGTTGTACTCTTCTCCTTAGTTCATTGCTGCATCACAGGTCAAGGTCTTCTGAAGGTCACAAGTTTTACTCTGTGCCTCGTGCTGGTGCCAGAAGGAAATAGCTACAATACAAGTACAAACTCTTCCATAACTTCTCTTACCTAAAATGAAAACTGTCTGTCCATATAGACACACAGAGAAGTATCCCCACCTTTGGACAGAGGATAGCCCAGGCCAGAGTGAGGACTGCTGGGCACTGTATTCTGCTGGTGTTTGTTACTACCATGGCACTGAATTACAGGGGAGAAACAAGCTGAGCCAAGCAGATTTACAGGATTCAGAGCTTCAGAGACTACTGAGGACGAACCATCCTGCTCAATTGGCTTTGGACCAACCTCCTATTTCTGATAACACTACAAAGTAAACATCAGCTCTGCTATTCCTCAGCATTTAAATTATCCAACGAAAAAAGGGAAGTACTCTGGCTTTACTAAGTCTCATTAAGAGACAGTTCTTTCCTCTGGATAAAAAGGACAGAAATTCTACCTCTAGCCCTAGATGAAGTCCTGACACTCTAAACTAGCCAGAACTTTACATATTCTGTGTCCTTCCTTTAAAAGCTAATCCAGGGGCTGCAGAAACGGCTCAGTGGCTAAGGGCACTGGCTGCTCTTCCACAGAATCCAGATTCAATTCCCAGCACTCACACGGTGTCTTACAACCACCTGCAACTCCAGTTCCAGGGCATCTGACAACTTCTTCCAGCCTCCATGGGCACCTGGCACACATGTTGCACACAAACATGCAGGCAAACCATTTATACACATAAAGTAAAAATAATAATTTTTTTTCAAAAATTTTAAAGAGTTAATCAAGTTGGGCCTGGCGAGGAATTTGCCTCTACCTGCTTCCTCCACCACCAAAATCTGATTCACCTGAAGATATGCTAAGGAGGAGGAGGACTAATTGTCCCTTAATGAAATAATGTATTCATCCTTCCTAGAAGTCTTTGGGTAGTGTCTTGTAGGCTTCCATCATATAACCTTTGGAGATTGCCGGATTTTGAGAGTTACCCAGAAAACTGTAACTATTCCTTTGTACCCTTTTCTTTTTTTCAACTACTGAACAAAATCCCAAGCATGCTTTCCTTGGCGCTCTGGGGCGTCTCATGACTTCCCTGAAGCTACTTCTCCTACCACACAACTTTCTGCCTACTATGCAGTATCGTGACCTCCACTGCTGAACCTGCCTCTTGGATCCTAACTCTAAGACATGGCTTTCTTCCTCTTTTCCATTTCCCTCCTCCTGGCAGCTGCCAAGGTTTACAACCTGTCTGCCCTATTATTTTTCTCAAACTCTAATAACATTTTCTTCAAGCTTCCTTCTGAGTACACTTCTAAATTCTGTTATTAATGAAATTAAGAACCCAAGAGAGGGGACCAAATTCCCTGGCAACAGAAGGTATTTTAAATTATAATGAATGACACACCCCCCCCCCCCATACCTCCCCTTTGGCTAAGAAAATGGAATAGATATTCCACCTAGAGGATCCCGTTACCCCACCTTTTTGTTTTCTTTTAGAAAAGCATCTGGGAGGTTTTGTAAGATGGTGGTTACAGGACAGTACCTATTCTGGACCTGGCAGAATTCTTTGTCCCCAGGTCTACTCCTTTGATAAGTGTAAGGTGGAAGGCTTTTGTACCTTTTCCTTGAGGGTCAGATATGCAACTGGACTTTGCATATCTCTGCTGAAAGCTAATTTTGCAAGTGAGAAAAGTAACAGGGCTAAGAAGGGAAACACAATCACATCCTTGAGTCAGAAAGCAACTTATGCAAAGACAAGCTTCACTTACTGTCCCTCGAGCAGCCAGCAAATCCACAGCCATTTCCTTTCTTAGTTTTCCTGCCAAAGGAGAGCTGAGTGCTGACAAAGTATGCCTGGTAAGGGGAAAAAAATGTGGTAAGGAATTCTGGTACCAAGGAAAGGCCCGGAATAAGGAAGTTAAAACCACCCACAACGGAGACCTGGAGAGATGGCCCAGTGATTAAGAGCACTTCTTGCTCTTGTAGAGAACCTGAGTTTGATTATCAGCACCCATAAACTCCAGTTTCAGGGGATCCAACATCCTCTTCTGGCCTCCTCAGGTTCTGTGCTCACGGACACACACACACAAACACAGACACATAAACATGATTTAATTTTTAAAACACACCCATAATGGTCATGAGATCCCAAGAAAGTTATCCCCTATAAACAACGCAAACCAAATGGTAAGAATGCTAACCAAACCAATCTGTCAGAACTCCATTCCTTAACAACACTTCTAATTTACACTCGTCCCTCCACGCCCACCTACAGGCCTATTAGCGCCTAGTACAAAACCTGTAGCAATGTCAAAAGGTGGGATATGCCGGATTTAAAGTACAAAGGATGATGTGTCCAAGTTCTCTGCAAATTCAGTGCCAGTCTACCTAAAGGACTTGAGTGCTGGCCGTTCGGGATATCCTGGCACCAGTTCTCTATGCAGCAGAGGTGGGGCTCTACTGCCGACGTGGCTGAGGTGGATAGCCAAGGGGTTCACAGACTGCCCAAAGTGACAAGACATTGCAAGGCGTACAGATAAGAGAATTCTGCTTCCAGTCCAAGTCTCTAGACAAGTCTAAGCGAATGCTCCAGCCACACTATGCTTTGGTTTCTTCATCTGCATCGCGGGCACAATGGGGCCCATAACTTTGTATTAGATGCGCTTATTCATCAAGTTAGCCTAGACTGCTAGGTACCAGCTGTTGTTTTTATGACCTGCATCGCTAAGATGCCACCGAAGATGCACCGGTCCCCGGCCTCCGCAGTCTGGGGCCCACCGCTCTCCGTGACGGGCCGAGCCAGCCTGCGGGTCTCCAACCTAAAGGCCGCGAAGCAGACGCCAGGCCGCGCCAGGCCCGCCGCGAAGCCCACCGCCCGCTACGCCCCGCCCGCCCACTCCGTCGCACTCACGGACGTCGGCGCTCGCCCCAGCCGCCCTCAGCACGAGCGGTCTCGAGGATGTCTGCCCCAGGCGCGCACTCCTTGTGGTCAGGATCACCTCGGCTACGAGCGCCCCCCAAAACGCCGCGAGCTGCCCCACCACCAGGAGAAACTCCAGAGAACTACCATTCCCGGCATGCCTCGGGGCTTCTCTGACTACATTTCCCAGAATGCACCGAGACCAAGAAATCGCTGAGTGTAGCTGTGGTTTGGCCCGAGTATTAAGGTTGCTGTAATGTAGGGCTTGGCGGGAGGTGGGAAGGGGGTACACTGCAAACCTGGCAACCTCTGCAGACCCAGCCAGGCTCTCTCAGTCAGTCCTCAGACTTGTTCGCTCTGCCGGCAAAGTGATATGACAAGACCAAACCGGAATTTAGTGTTTGGGAGTTAGGATCCCACCCACACCAAGTACCAAGCTAGTCCGCTAAGTACTCATGGAGTTACAGGACAGCCAGGGCTAGATAGATAAACTTATGTCTAAAAACAGACAAAAAGTCCTAGGAGACTGTGTAGCCTATACCATTAATCATAATTTGAATCATTTTAGCGTGTTAAAATACACAGAAAATGCACATAGGTTTCAGGGGGTTTGCTTGTTTTGTTTGTGACAAGGGCCTTGGTATTCAGCCAAGGATGGTTTCAGCAGCTGAAGAATTTAAAAGTAAAAGTATTTGATTGAACACACACACTTAGCCTTTTATTTATTTATTTAAATTCAACTAGCTGCTGAATCCTAAGATCAATTGCCATTTGGATGGAACAGAGAGGAATGGACCTTCAAAGAGCCTGCCCATCCCTATCCTCTAGGTTTTGTTGTTTTTTAAAGACATACATAATAACTCTCTCAAACATCTTTCTGATTTGGAAAAGCATCTAGAAAACCGTAACAGCAGTGGCCTGTTTAAATACCCCTCTTCCCAGTGGCTGAAGTGAGGCAGTCTCAGAAGCCATAGGCTGTTGAGGGAAAAACCCAATTCCAGGAATGTGTTGCCTCTCTCAGTATTACTGGCCAAAGTATTATTGGCCCCGATCACCTCATAACTTACAAACTTTATTGTCTCTACAGGTGTTTGCATCCCAGAACTACGTGGAAGTCCCTATTGTTGAAGATATCACACAGTTTAGTTGCAGGACATGGAGAAATCAGGCTTGGATCTGGCTGGAAGACCCCCCCCCCCATACTAACTCACTTTCATAGTGCTGAAAAACACCATGCAGACTGCTAGGGGAGACCTGACGCCAACAGTCTTGCTCAGCTATGGACAGAGTGTGCTAACACCATGAGTATGCCAGGGGAGATAAGCTCATTGGTATGGGGAGGCTACTGCTATTACTTTGTTGAATACGTATTACATGCCTCCAAAACATTTGTGATTATGGACATAAATTGCCACTGCTGTTAACACCGGTTGTAGGGGGAAACCTTTAGTTTTTAAGTGTGATTTGTGTGTATGCACACGTGAGCAGAGATGCCCATGGAAGTCAGAAGCCTTGGATCCTATGGAGTTGAAGTTACAGGAAGTTATGGATCACCCAGAATAGGTGCTGAAATAGAACCAGAGTCTTCTGCAAAAGTTAACCATGGGATTGTAATCTCTCCTAACCTGGGAAAGGCTCCTCCCCGGGGGTGGATAGTTACTGTGGTGACACAATTGAGCATGGTACCGAGAATAAGGACGGTTGCTGCAGCATATCTACCCAATGCTCAGCCATAAACGGGAGAAAATAACCAGACAACTATATTACGCCAAGACACATAGAACATTGCACAAGAGGCAGAAGGGAGGGAGGGTTAGTGTTCTATGTTTTGAACTTACTCTGAATGGAAACAAGAGAAAGGAGGCTCATATGGAATCCTCTCAGGCTTACGAAGCTGATGCCAGGAGTTTAGATAAGCAGTGCATAGTCGCTACAGGGAGCACAAGGAAACAGGCACAGCCCAGGGCCACGAGCAGTGCTCTCTGTGGCTACACGGTGACATAATTTCTCCTTTCTGTGTGTATGTGTAAATTGAATTTCAAAAGCATTTGTCTAAAGAGCCTTTACTTCTCAATTTAACACACCAAAGGTAGTTACTTTCTGAGAAAAACAAGTGGAGACACCATGCATTCTGTGAGTTAAAGTGCCTTTAGATCTGAACCAGAGGGGGTAAATGGTGGGAAGATAGTGCAAAGGACAGTATATACCTGCGTAGCTCAGTGATTTCCTTCTCAGGTCAGTGACTCAGAGAAAGGAAAAATGAACCATAAGCTTGAGCAACAAACAAGAACTTTTTTCCAGAGTATTCAAAACCAAACTTTAGTGACCCTGAGGTAGCTACAAGTTACCTATGCAGATTTATTTTCTCATCCTTCCTAATCCAGCTATTTTGCATCAACACTGAAAGGCTTTGTCCAACACAGATCCTAGGCTCATCTGAAGTCTGGAGATTCATGGATCCACTTTGACCTACATCAGCAGGTCGCCCGTGATGTTACGAAAGCTGGTGGTTGAATCTGAATCACTAGAAAGAAAATATTAATCCTTCAGTCTTAGAGCCAACTCTAGTCAGTAAAACTTAAGAACATGTGGAAAACATTCAAGTTTTTCCAACACTCGCAAGTCTATCCTGCATCACAAACGCCTGGTGTTTGCTGAAGTCTAACTTGATGCTCACCCCCCACTATTATCCCTCTCTCTCCAGGATGACTCCTGCTACAGTCAGCATGGAACGGGTGTCCTTGGGCAGATTTACCAAGTGCATCTTACTTAGATGGTTCTTCTCAGGAATGAATCTTCTGATGGTTGGCAAGAGATGAACTCTGGCTGAAGGCTTTCCCACATGTTTTGCATTTATAAGGCTTCTCTCCGGTGTGTGTTCTCATATGTGTCATAAGTGAGGAACTCTGTCTGAAGGCTTTCCTGCACACTTTACAGCTAAATGGTTTCTCTCCAGTATGAATTCTCTGATGCTGAATTAGAGCCGAGCTTTGGTTGAAGGCTTTCCCACAGTCAGTGCACTTGTAAGGTTTCTCACCAGTATGGACTTTGCGGTGAGTATTGACCGCGGAGTGGCAACTGAAAGCTTTCCCACATTCCTTACACTGAAAAGGCTTCTCGCCCGTGTGGATTCTGTAATGGACATTGAGGCGTGAGAGCCAGGAGAAGGCCTTCCCACACTTATCGCACTTGTACGGCTTTTCTCCGGTGTGGATTCTTTGATGTTGGATAAGTGCTGAGCTTTGGCTGAAGGTCTTCCCACATTCCTTGCATGCATATGGCTTCTCTCCAGTGTGAATTCTCTGATGTATAATCAGGGCTGAGTGGTAACTGAACACTTTGCCACACATACTACAACGAAAGGGCTTCTCTCCAGTGTGAATACGGCGGTGTCTGCTGAGCCGCGATACTGATGTAAAGGCTTTGCCACACTGGGTACATTCATATGGTTTCTCCCCCGTGTGAATTCTATGGTGCTGAATAAGAGACGAGCATTGACTAAAGGCTCTCCCGCACTCGTTACACTTATAAGGTTTTTCTCCGGTGTGGATCCGCTGGTGATTATTAAGGGATGAGCTGACTTTGAAGGTTTTGCCACATTCCTTACATTGATAGGGTCTCTCTCCAGTATGCATTCTCTGATGCCCAATGAGCGAGGTGGTGAATCTGAAAGCCTTTCCACACTCGCTGCACACGTACGGTCTTTCTCCAGTATGGACCCTCAGGTGCAGTGTCAGGGACGAGCTTTGGCTGAAAGCCTTCTGGCATTCCTTACATTTGTAGAGCTTCTCTCCGGTATGGATCCGCTGGTGTTTGCTCCGGGAAGAACTGTGGAGAAAGCCTTTGCCACAGACGTTACACTTATAGCACCTGCGCGTTGTGCTGACTCCCGGCTGTTTGAACAGGGCTGAGTGCTGCTGTGGGCGGGCCTTCCTTCCTCTGGAGACAGCTCCAGGTTTGCTAGTACATGGAGACTTGACATCAGGATTGCTCAGGCGTTCGACATCTGTAAAGGCCCTCTCTTGTACACAGTCTTTTCTAATGGAAAGCAGCATTTTGCTGAAAAGTTTGGCCTTGTTGCCTCGCTGCTCCTCCAACAGCTCCTTATTTACATATGTTTTCCCCAATACGAGATCAAAATAATCATCAACTCTGCGAATTTTCAAGATTTCTCTCTCTTCTTTGGAAACTATGGATTCCAACATGCTCTTCCATCCTAAATGAAACAAAATGTAAGTGATTATTGCACTGGGAATAAAGGAAAATGATACCAAATTCATGAACACAGCTAACAAATCCAAACCCAGAACCTTAGGGAAGGTTAGGAACAAGGACAAAGGAAAAGAAATAGGAGGATGGACATTCCTGAAAGGAAGGGTCTGAAGAAATTGTGTGTGGGGTAGGGGGGCTGAGGACATCAGACGGCAGCTCTCCCGGTAGGAGGGGGTGCCAGTCTTGATGCAGCAACAACGCCTGGGTCATCCGGTGTTTCTGAGAAGAGCTTGTGTTCCTATTCAGTTTCATCACCCGGATCAGGTGTCAGTATACCTAGGGAAATCCCAAAAGAAAACTGTAGGGACGAAGAGGAGGGAGGGAAGAGGGAAGGGAGGAGAAGGAGGAGCCTCTGCTCTCAGTTTCAGTCTCAGCAGAGCCGCCCTGGCCCTGGGCAGAGTGCTAATGCTGTATTGAGTATTCTCCCATAGACAAGGCTAATGCTGTATTGAGTATTCTCCCATAGACAAGGCTCATGCTGTAATGAGTATTCTCCCATAGACAAGGCTAATGCTGTAATGAGTATTCTCCCATAGACAAGGCTAATGTTGTAATGAGTATTCTTCCATAGACAAGGCTAATGTTGTAATGAGTATTCTTCCATAGACAAGGAAGGGCCAACTCTCACAGGGATGAGTATTCTCCCATAGACAAGGCTCTGGAGGTACAGGCAATAACAAGGAAGGGTCAACTCTTACAGGGATGAGTTTTCTCCCATAGACAAGGCTCTGGAGGTACAGGCAATAACAAGGAAGGGTCAACTCTTACAGGGATGAGTATTCTCCCATAGACAAGGCTCTGGAGGTACAGGCAATAACAAGGAAGGGTCAACTCTTACAGGGATGAGTAT